CATAGAAAAACGTTATTCTTGAATTGTTGCGCTATTTGCTCCTGTAGTCTTTCACAGAGTGGTGAACCCCTCCTCATCTTTACTTCTGAAAGACTCAGCCTCTCTGAGATGCTTTTTTATACCCAGTCATGTTACTGACCTGTTGTCAATCAATCACCAGGTGTTTTTTTATTATTACACAACTTTACCAGCCTTTTGTTGCCCCCGTCCCAACCTTTTTTGGAACATGTTTGCAAATATTTTTCCAAAAACAATACAATTTCTCAGTTTCAACATTTGATATGTTGTCTTTGTAGTATTTTCAATGAAATATAGGGTTTAAATGATTTGCATGTCATTGCATTTTGTTTTTATTTACATTTTGCACAGCATCCCAACTTTTTTAAAAATACGGTTGTATATATAAAGCTAATTTTCACTGCCTTGTAAATGCTCATTTTGGAGCTTCTGCCATCTTAGTAAACAGACAAAACACGGTGTGCTGATCAGCTGGAGTGTTTACTGATGGAGAAGTGTGTGTGTGTGTGCTTCCATTTATTCTGTTCAATCAACACTTCACTCTGACACCTGAACCAACAGCCTGATAATACTGCACAGAGAGGGGGAGGGAGTATGGAGACAGACAGACAGACAGACAGATAGACAGACAGACAGACAGACAGACAGACAGATAGACAAGGTTCTGTTCCTTATTGCTGAGATTTGTAACAATATGTCAAAATTTGAGAGAGACAGAGGTGAGAAACAGAGAGAGTGTGTGTGTGTGGGGGGGGGCAGTGATGGTTCTGAACTCTGGAGTGAGGGAGGAGTTAAAGCAGGCCGGGGGGTGGGCTGCTGGGCTGGCTGGGTCCAGCCTGAGGAGACAGAAAAGTTAAAAACACGAGCATCTGTTCATCACTTCAGGAGTGTTTCTGTTTCTGCTTCTCAGTAAATGATGTGTTTGTGTGTATGACAGGAGGCATATGGGACACACACACTCACACACACCACACACACACACACACACACACACACACACACACACACTCACATACACCCTGAAGGAGCTCATATGCGCAACACTTCTTAAAGCTCTGCAGTGCTGATCCAGAATCAGCTTCTGCCTTTAACAGTGAAGACGAGAAAAACTCGCAGAACAGCAGCATTATGACTCTTCACGTTCTACAGCGTTCTCAGTCATTTTAGAACCATCGCCAGAATCTTCTACAGTTCATCATTCTGAACACATCAAACACTTCTTCAGTTTCATTTGCAGCTCCATAATGTTCTACCGATTATCTGTTCTTCAGGACTACCATGTTAGAATCACTATATCTGAAACCAGACTTGTTTCATATTATTGAAAACACTGAATTCAAACTTGTGTATGCTGGTGTGGTTAAATGAGTACCTTGTGAATCCTGTAAAGTTGTCTGGCCTTTTACAATCATTTAATGCAGTTATCTGTAAAATGGATTTAGACCCCATGTATCAAGCAGAAGGCCCATAGGCCACATCAGGCTCGTGGCACAATCCTTTCTGGCCCGCAAAATTATTTTAATTTATGATTAATGTTATCCCATTTCACACTGTGCTGCACTACAATGCCCAGCATGCACTGCAACATACTATGCACTGCTCCCCATCCCCCAACAAGAGGTTTAACAGTTATCCATAGCTAATGTAGCATATATAATATTTCAAGGTCTTCCACACATGCTCAAATTTTACTGTTGCAGTTTTGGCATATTTTGAATAAATAATGGTCAGTTTGGGTCAAAACAAAATATTAAAAATGAAATAAAAACAAGCGTTTTCTGGTCCATCAATTTGTTGAGATTTTTTAATGTGGTACCTTTTCTGGTCGAGTTTAACACCCCTGATTTATTACCCAAGACATTGTCGAGTATTACTGTATAATAAACAGATTTAAATGCTTTGGTTATAGAATATTTAATGATGTTTAGATGAGTTTTTTTAATCATAAAACACCATAAAGACGATAATAAGCTTTCAGTTTATGCAAAATAGCCCAAACCAACACAAATAAAGGTGAAGTTTTCTAGACGAAGCTGCGGTTTTGTAGACCGTACTGGAGAAACTGACTGTAGATCAGCATTTTGTTTACTCTCACACACTTTAGGGGTCTGAGGTACAGATGGACACTGAACACACAGATGCAAAACTCCTCCCTCCGAGCCACACACACACACAAACACACACACACACACAAACATCCAGGGGGCATTGGGTGGGTTTTGTGTGTGTGTGTGTGTGTGTGTGCGCGTGTGTGTGTATGTGTATGTGTGTGTGGAGGTTAACAGGAAAAGTGAAAGTTCTCTGAGTATTCCACTAAGTTATCTTACATGCACTGAAGGTTCTTCAACCTTTTTTAGTAAACAAAGTGGTTCTATACAGAATCATGAACATTCAAAGAACTCTTTCACATTTAAAGAGTTCCTTGAATCAGGAAGGAGTTCTATATAGCACCAAAAAGGGTTCTTCTACTATTGCTACAAGCTTGACATAGAAGTAACTGAAATAGAAGAACCCTTTTTGTGCTTTACAGAACCCCTTTAAAAAGTTCTATATAGAATCATATACAACACATTCTCCACCAATCTGAAGAACCCTTTTATGATGCAGAGAAGCCTTTAATCATGCAAAGGGTTCATTGAGTGTTCATAGTTCTATATAGAACCAGTTTTTTTTCCTAAAGAACCATTGAAGAAAGAGTGTAAGGCCTAGATGGAACAATGATCACTAATTCATTTGAGTGAGGACAATTAAATTTTACAATAATTTAATGCATAATCTGCAATCATTAACATGAATAATTTATATTTGGGTGCATAAAATCTTTGCTTTACTATATTATAGTTCTTCATATTTTCACCATTCAAGTTTACTTTTTTTCAGTTGGACAGTGGCGCCCTCTGCTGTTTAAAGTGGGAAAAGCTGCATAAAAAGGTAAAATAAGCAAAGCTGAGTGAAATTAAAATGAATTTAAACGCACTCACTGCATGGCTTGTTTATAATAAACACAATGTGATGTTTAATAAAATGTAATAATAAAATTGGCAGTAAAAAAGACAGTTGGAATGCCTTAGAACCCAATAAAGTATAGAAACAAATAAATCCAGTCATTTCGCCACAATATCTTTATTTTACAGTATTATCACAGAACATTCTAACTGCTGTCACCTGAACACATTTTAAAACTAAAGAAGTGCAGAAAGATATTAAATATTCAGTGTATAAATATACATTTCTGTAATGGATTAACAAAGCTGGCAAAGAATATATAAAAGCTGTTAATAATAATTTATATCTTTATTTTACATCATCACAGACCTTTTCTAACTGCAGTGACATGAACACGTGGTAATTTAAGTAAAAAGAGTTTGGAGAAAAAAAAAAGCATCTAAGTCAACATACTTGCCTCAAACCATGATGAGTGTTAAAGGACCAGTTTGGTGAAAAATAGAATTCACACAATTTTCTACTGACCTCAGATGAAGTTAATTGAATTAGTTCTGAATTCAAGATTAAACCGCTATAATCTGTACACTTGTGCACTTGAAGGGGATACAGAATTCACAACACCTGTTGCCTAAAATGGGTGATGCTAAACGCACCCCCTGGGCATACGTACGCATGGCACAGTGCGCAAACAGTTGAAGGAAAGTGCCAAATTTTAGCGCTAGTTAGTGAGCCGGATAACTTAGCACACCGTGAGGGGGTTGGAGTGACCTTATTTTAAAGTTGACGTCTAAAGAAAAGGAACTGTTTATCTGTTTTATTCTGTACAAACCTGTCAACTTGCTCGTTGTAATGTTAATGCTGGCCAGCGTGGGCGAGCTTTTAATAACTGTATATCTTGTTTGTTTAGAACTTTATAGTGAGAAAATGTACTGAATGAAACAGGTAAGACGAGTACGCTGTTCACTGGTAACTCTTAATTCATTTAAAGATAAGACTAAATTTAAGGCTTTTATTATCTGATCAATCAAAAGACTGAGTTAGTCTGAACAGTGGTTGGCTATATTCCCCTGATGATATATGTATTAAATGACATGGCTTTGTTCTACCGCATATTCATATGTACTTAATCTGACCAATAATATGGATTTAATATCTCAGTTGCTAGTTTTTTCAAGAAGAGAATAAACATCCCAAACAAAATAATTGTGAGCCCATATCTGAATACAATATAAAAATAATTTATACATTGTCTCGGCTCTGAGTTTTCACGCAATGCATCATGAGCAATGCTTTGTTTAGTATCTCCCATCTAAAACTGCAGCCAGTAGCGTTCAGTTGACGTTTTCTTCATTTTTATAGCTCAGCAATGAGACCTGGATGGAGTTTGAGTGGGTTGAGAAAAGTTTGGGAATATATTTACAGAAAAGATTTGGGTGACTACTGACTTTTAGTGTTGGTTAGCAATGTTAGCATTGTAGCTCAAGTGGAAAATTGTGAAAATTAGATTTTTCGCACAACTATTCGGTTAACCGACCTCAAATGAACTTGCTAATGTGGTTTCTAACACTGTTATCTATAAAAGTCCAGGCTTCAAGGTGGCTGCTACTGTTTTTAGCTTTTTGCTAATGTACTTCAGTCCATGTTTATGATAACAGTGAGTCATACAGTGTCAGAAACAACATAATTTAAGACTATTAGAGATTATCAAACATTATTTGAGGCTACTGCATTTTGCACAGTGCTAACTAGTGGAATATAGCTACATTAGCCTCATAGCTCCAGTGCTAAAACAAAAGAAGTAAACTTTAAATACCAAACATGCCTTGGCAGATTGACTGTATTTGGGGTGGGGGTTGGGGGGATTATGTAAATCTGATTATATTATATTAAATTTGATGAGTATTTTTAAACTACCACCTTAAAATGCAGACACAGGAATGTGAAGGCACCATAAAGGATAACAGATAAATAGATGAATCCAGGCTTTACCTCCACTCTGCTGAGGGAGAGTTACGAGTGTGTTTCAGGAGCTGTGTTCAGCGGGGGACGAAGTGGACGCTGAACGCGTGTTGGTTCTCCACAGGTTGCTGGGACAGGTCATTGGTTTGGGGGATGTTCTCCACGGTGCAGCCTCGCTCCGGACACACAGAGTAACGGGACAGCAGAGTGACCAGGATGGACTTCATCATCACCATGGCGATGTGTTTCCCCACACAGGAGCGAGGACCTGAACCGAAAGGCTGGAAGAACCGGTTTGGGACCTGGAGAGAGAGAGACAGAGAGACAGAGAGAGAGAGAGAGAGAGACAGAGAGAGAGAGAGAGAGAGAGAGATGAAAAGTGTTTGACTTAGGCTGAAAGATGAAAGATAAACTGATTTGAAGGAATGGTTCTGTGAAAATTCAAATTTCCAAGGACACCTCAAAAGTAGCCACGATGTGTGTCTGAATTTTGCTTCTTTACTTTTAGCGCTGGAGCTACGAGGCTAATGTAGCTAACAATAATGAAAGCCTAGCTGTAGGGCTTCATCACACCGAGTTGTTCAGTATCTCTAATAGTCTTGACTATGTGGTTTCTGACTCTGTATGACTCACTGTTATCTATAAACATGGACTAAAGTATAGACAAAATTCAGGCCTCAGGCTGCTGCTACTTTTTAGCTATGCTAACATACTTTAGTCATTTGCTAAAGTACTTTAGTGCCAGGAACCACAGAATCAAGTCTATTAGAGATTTAGGCCTGCAGTTAGCACCATGCTAATTGGTGGTGCTAATGACTTGTTAGCTACATCAGCCTTGTAGCTTCAGAGCAAAACTAACTATTGCTGTATTATTACTGTACTGCAGTATTTGTTAATAAGCACTGTGTTTAAATACTCACTGTTTTCTCAAAGTTGTCCAGGCTGAACTGGTTGGGGCAGCTGAAGAATTCTGATCTGTGCATGCGGCCCACGTTCAGGATGATGTTTGTGCCTTTGGACACCTGGTAGCCCTCGATGACGTCATCGTCCAGCGCCCGGCGCATGGTGAAGTCCACAACGGGGTGGAATCGAAGGGACTCGTTAATGAAGCTCTCGAGGACGCAGAGCTGAGAGAGATAGGAGTGCTGCAGCTTTCCGTCGCCTACAAGGGAAAAGAGCAGAGTGAGGGGTGACAGCGGTGAATGTGTTCATTTAACCTCCAGTCAAAACAGCCACTAAGATTAGATATACATTCAGAAACTGGCAAGATTATTTATACAGCACCTTTCATAAACATATATATATATATATATATATATATATATATACATAAAATGAAATATAAACATAATTCAAGTTATAATTTAAAAGTAAAGGAGAATAGAAATTAAAACACGATTTAAACAATAGATTTAAACAGAGAAGAATCGTTAAAATTAAAAATGAAATTAAAGACAATATGAGGATAATAGAGTGGCGTTAGAAGAGAGAAGTACAGTAGAGCTAACAGTGTTTAAAAGCTGCTCTAATAGGAACGTTTTTAGGCTGGATTTAAAAGTGTCTGGTGTCAGGCTCTTATAATGCTCTTTGTCAACTGGTTCCATTCAAGAGCAGCATAGTAGCTAAACGCTGCTTCTCCATGTTTAGTCTTCACCTTCAGCAGGACTAACTGACCAGTTCCTAATGATCTGAGAGTTCTGCTCGGCTCATATTGCTGCAGCAGATCAGATAAATACGCTGCTCCTGCACCATTTAGACGTTTCTAGAGCAGTAACAGCACCTTAAAGAGCACCTCAGAGTTTAGCCTGTTTGTATACATTTGTTTAAGAACAATAACAAAGCATTTGACAGAATGCAAACCCATTTGGACAACATTTCATAGCACTAAGATAAACAACAGGTTTTTAACAGTTTTTAGTGGAAGTGGAAGGCAGGAAACACCCTGAACAGGTCACCAGTCCATTTCAGGGCAGACAGACAGAGAGATACATTTACACACACACCTAGGGACAATTTAGCATGTCCAGTTAGCTTGACGGCATGTCTTTGGACTGTGGGAGGAAACCGACGCAGGTATGGGGAGAACATGCAAACTCCACACAGAAAGGACCCTGGTCGCCCAGCTGGGGAATCAAACTCAGGCCCTTCTTGCGGTGAGGCGACAGCACTACCCAGTGCGCCACCACGCTGCCAAGTTTTTAACAAATTCAGAAAATAATGCTGTAAATTCAAGCATGCCGATGTTTTATATTTGCTTGTATAAAACTATATTAAAAAGCCAGCGTTTCAGATAATACAACAAACTCCTTTTTTTAAGTGATTTTCTATGATGATATGTAAGTAAATGCTTTCTGCCCAGATAAAAAGCTCCATATTACTTTCACAGCTGCCTTCTGCACAGTGCTGTGTGTGTGTGTGTGTGTGTGGGTGTGTATTGTGGTACCTGTCACTGTATGGATCTCCTGCAGGATCTGCAGCTCTACATCCGGATTCTGCTTCAGCAGCAGCAGCATGAAGAACACGGTGATGGAGAGAGTGTCCGGCGCTGCAATCACCATCTCCAGCACGCACTGCCTCACGTTCTCCGCGGTCAGCTCACCGTGACTCTACACACACACACACACAGACACACACAGACACGCACACACACACAGACACGCACACACACACACACAGTGAGCAAACGTTCAGGACTGAACAGTCTCGTTTTGCACTGCAAATATGCTATCTTGCAAAGTGAAAGTCTCTGAAATGTGGTCAACGTATCTAATATTCCTCACTATGAGATGCTTAAATAATAAAACACCATAATTCAACCTCTTTGTAGACATTTTCGTTTATTAAAGTCATTTTATGTAGCGATTCCACTGCCAGATAATTTTACTTCCTATCTGTCAGTGCAGTGAGATCAATTCAGCTGATAAAATGATTAAAAATGTTAATGATATTTGTAGTAATAATAAAATGAAGTAGTAATCAATATATTTTTAATTAATAACAATTATATTTACAATGAAATAGTAATATAGAAAATAAAAGTTAAATTCATTTTAATGAAATAAAATTTGAGCTTAAAAAGCAAACAAATGATATCTTAACAAGAGAAATCATCTTAAATCTAGTCTAAATATCTAATGTGTCTTATTTTGAGATGGCTGTATGAATATTTTAAGATTATATAGCTTTTTTCTAGATGTTTTTTTCTCATTAGAAATAATTTTATCAAGTAAAAAGGAATGTATTTTACTTAAAACAAGCAAATTATCTGCCAATATACTGAGATAATTGTACCCAAAACAAGTTAAAATTGTCTGGAAATAAGTTGAATATTCTTATTATAAGCTGACAACAATATCATCAATGATAATATAAGGAATATTAGATATATAGACTAGATTTAAGACAATTTCACTTACCAAGATACCATTTTCTACAGTGGTGTGCATTCTCATACTGAGAAGTATTAACTTTATTACCCACATTTAAGATGATACAGTTGTGTGAAAAAGTTTGAACACCCCCGTTTAAATGACACTTTCTCTAAACATGTTTCTGGTTTTATTAATTTGCTCCGTTTAACACATTAGGGAACAAATAAAATATGAATGTGCCATAACTTTTGCACAGGCCACATTTTCTGTTTTATTGTGTATTATTTTCCATGTTTCAGTAAATAAACAGTAATTGAGTATTAAAGTTTGCAGAAGTGTGTCTCTGTAGAGGACGTGTGACTTATTTACAGTCAGAAAATCAACAACAACATGAAATTTGAACAGGGGTGCACAAACTTTTACACACAACACTGCAAAAAATAGTATCTTTTCAAGTTAAATGATCTTAAATCTAGTCGAAATATCTAATATTTCTTATTTTGAGATGGTTTTGCACTTATTATAAGATTATCTAGCTTATTTCTAGACATTTTTCACTTGTTACAAGTAATTTTATTCAGTAAAATTATCTCAGTACAATCAGATAATTTAGCTGGTTTCAAGCACATTTCTTAAAACAAGCAAAGTTATCTGATATCTATAAATATATCAGATCTATGAATTATAAAGTCTACAAATTATCGGATAAAAGTATAGTGATATAATTTTACTGAATAAAATTACTTAAAAGAAGTATAAAATGTTTGGAAATAAGTTGAATAATCTTAAAATGAGCTTACAACAATTTCAACAGGGAAAATACTGGATTTATTGACTATATAAGATCATTTTAATTGACAAGATGCTATTTTTGCAGTGAACAGTATCTTTTTAAAGTATTGCTCTCTCGTTATGACGTGCGTGTTTACCTGTGCGAATATGAGCTCTGCAGTGAAGTTGAGGTTGTCGAGTTTGTCAGCCTGAAGCAGTTGAGATCTTTTCTGCTCGATCAGCTCCTCGATGGCGTCCTGCAGCTCCTGACTGGAAGTCACACACACCATCAGACACACAGCGCTCACCTTCTTCTCACCTGTTTTACTTTCCTACGCCACCAGCTGCTTTTTATAGACATAACATTATACACTCATTGTCCATTTTATCAGCTCCACTGATCATATAGCAGCATTTTGTAGTTCTACAGTTTCAGACTGTGGTCCATCTGTTTCTTTGCACCCTGTTCTTCAGTGGTCAGGACCCCCACAGGACCCCCACAGACCAGGTATTATTTGGTTGGTGGGTCATTCTTAGCACTGCAGTGACACTGACGTGGTGGTGGTGTGTTAGTGTGTGTTGTGCTTGTGCGAGTGGATCAGACACAGCAGTGCTGCTGGAGTTTTTAAACACCTCAGTGTTGCTGCTGGACTGAGAACCAAAAACATCCAGCCAACAGCGTCCTGTGGGCAGCGTCCTGTGACCACTGATGAAGGACTAGAGGATGACCAACACAAACTGTGCAGCAGCAGATGAGCTATCGTCTCTGACTTTACATCTACAAGGTGCAAGGACCAATGAGGTAGGAGTGTTTAAGAGAGTGGACAGCGAGTGGACACAGTGTTTAAAATTCCAGCAGCACTGCTGTGTCTGATCCACTCGCACCAGTACAACACACACTAACATACCACCACCGTCAGTGTCACGTCAGTGCTGAGAATGACCCACCACCCAAATAATACCTGCTCTGTGGGGGTCCTGTGGGGGTCCTGACCATTGAAGAACAGGGTAACAAAGTAAGCAGAGAAAGAGATGGACTACAGTCTGTAACTGTAGAACTACAAAGTGAAACTATATGGTCAGTGGAGCTGATAAAATGGACAGTCAGTGTAGAAACAAGGAGGTGGTTTTAATGTATATACAATGAAATGAAGGGTCACTCACGCAGCGTTTCTGTGTTTCTCGCGCAGCCACTTCAGTCGGAAGTAGATATCTGGTTTGATTAGTACTGTCTGCCAGCTGTCAAAATACTTATGGATTTTGGACAGCAGATTCTGCTCTGTAACATAAACAAACAAACATAAAAGAAAAGGAATTATAGACCATCAGGTAATATGGGACACTTTCAGAAGCTCTTGATTATTGCACAAATCTTATATTTAAACAATCTTAAACCCAAGAATTACACCATTGTTTGGAATCACTTAACATTATGTTATATATTTATATATAAACATTATGTTATCGATTATCATTGATTATTGTTATAAACATAAACATAAACAGATAAACAGTTTATGCACAATTTAAAGTACTTTGGGAACAATGAGAAGTTATGGCACAGTAAAAAAAACGACAAATGTTATGATAAAATATTTAATTATCTACACTCTCAAAAAAGATGGTTCTTCATGGGTTCTTTAGTAAAGACAATGGTTCTATATAGAACCATTACAACTCAAAGAACTATATGCATGCCTAAAGTGTTCTTTGCCTGGTAAAATGGTTCTTGAGATTAATGGAGAATGTGCTGTGTATTGTTCTATATTGCACCAAAAAGGGTTCTGCTCTTGTATACAAGCTTGAAATGATAACAACAGCAGAACCCTTTTAGGTTCTATATAGAACTCTTAAGCATGCAGTTATAAAGAACATATGAAGAACCCTTAAAGCATGCAAGTGGAGTGTTCATTATATAGCCACTTCTGTATAAAGCCACTTAATTTACTAAAGAACTTTTTCAATATTCTAGACATTAATGTTATTATTATTAGTTCATTTACGATGTAATACAGTTTTCTCAGTTATTACAGGATCATCTACAGTGTATTTTCACAGCTCCTACAAAGTGTCTGAAACCTCTAGAATATTAGCATTATATTATTATCAGCCTGTGTTCAGTTGTTTGTGCTACATTGTCCTCATCTGTTCAAGCCAAATGATCTCAGTGCACTGGCAGATAGTATGAACATGAAAAATGATCAACCAGTGCAAGTCATTTCACTACATCAGATCACTTTATATCAGTAACAGCGTATAGATATTGTGTTAAATATATTGTATATATTTAACCTGTTCATATCCCACATGTAAATGAATATTGGAGCTCATATGCTTACATATGATCACATACTGAGATTAATCAGAGCTGATGTGTATATGTGCCACTGACCGTTGACAGGAACGTCCAGGAACAGTCTGTTGGAGATGTCCACCACGATGCAGCGGAGAAGATTCAGGACATCCACCTGCCCCTGCGCATCTCTCAGGTGAGACAGGTCGTCCAGGTGTGAGTTTGTGGAGGAGGTGCAAATCTCCAGCGTCCTCTGCAGCCCCGGACCTGTTAGAGCTGACACAGAAATCACACACAATGAACATAACAATGTTACTTGTGTCAGAGTTACTAGTTTAGTTCAAGGGGAGTCGTTCAGTGCGGTTTGGGGTGAAACGCTCTGTTCTAGAGAATCTTAACGAATCAGATTTGTTCACAGTGGTGGTGATAGGAACCAGATGTCCAACTCTAAAAGCTCCCTCACAGAAAGGTATTACATGAAATGGTTATGAATACACTGCCTGATGACTGAGACACTGTTTTATGATAGTTCTGGGAAGATTTTGGCCTTAAACTCCATTAATGTTGGAGGGATACATGTAGGCAAAAAAGTCCCCAAAGAAAACGTATTATTTTCAGATTTTCCATCATCAACATTCCATATAAAATTCAGAAGACATGTGTAGGTTCACTGGTGGTTTTGGATAGTAAATAAAATATTTATTTTTGTCATGTAGTCAAGGCGACCCCTGGTTCCAATCACTACCACTGTAAGTAAACGAGTCTGTAGGTTTCTCCACAGTCATGTCGCTAAATCAAATGTGTTGTTTACCTTTGGCGAAGAAGGTGCGGACCTTCTTCCACAAAGCGACGTTAGAGTTGAAGATGATTCCCTGCTCGTGCATGCCGAGGCACTGCAGACCCACTCTGCTGCCGAAGCGAGAGGTGTACTGAGAGTGCTTCAGGACGTGATACACCGCCGATGGTCTGGAAAACCAGTGAACAACAGTAAACATTAAAAACACACTCAGGAGATCATTTATGTAACAGAAGGGAAGGCACTAGCATTACATTACTATTCATCATTTCACTGCTAATGCTCAACAGCATGCAAATAATAATAATAATAATAATAATAATAATAATAATAATAATAATGACAGTAATACTAAGTGCTACTGCACAATTAATATTTGTATAACTATAATTGTGCCTATAACATCTAATGCTTAACACTTTTCACTGTTGTAACTAAACCTCGTATCTCAGCAATAGAAAATCAGTGAGAGATTATCAAAGTGTTCTTAATTTTCATGCACATTAATGTGACAAGATTTTATTCAATTTCTTTTTTTTTGCCCATTTCCACTGGTGCATTTCTATTCAAGCTATTTACTCATTAATTATTTATGATTAATAATGGCATAATAATTTTGTACTTTAACAATACTTCAATTACAGAGAGCTGGATTTTAGCTCAGTAGTCAGATTTCCCAGCGCATGTAAACTCTTACTCTGATTTCTTTCGGATTTCTCAGTCTGCGCATGTGCGAGAACAGACGGTGGATGTCGCGAGATGGCAGTTAAACACTTTTAGAGCAGCGCTAAAACCAAACACGAAATGGAGTTAAATAGTCTTCATCTTCTAGATGATGTAAGTAAATATTTTCAGGTAAAGTGGCTCAATGTTTAAAAAAAAAAAAAAACGGCATGAAGTTTGAGTTTTATGTTATGTTTACATCATGTCTCCTTCTGTAAGTTTATTGGCTGGTTGCAAAGTAGAAACCTGATTACTGCCTTACTCATGTAGACCTGGAGTATTGTATTATCTGACTACTCAATGAGAACAACAGTAACATAATCAAAAATAGAACATATAGGACATTATGGACCATTGTTTAAAGGCTAAAAGCATCTTAAATGGTAACATTTCTAGTATTTCTCATTATGCGATTGCTTTTACAATACTACAACTTTCTTCAATCTATTTCTACAGTGTTACTTATTTTAAGAAGTTGAATCAGCCAAGCAGATAATATGCTTCAGTACGTAATGTTTTAAAGACTTGTTGACATAAAACGTAAACATTGCTAAAATTTTAAAAAATACAGCTTACTAATCCAGTACAGAACAGGATTTTTACATTGTTTTTGTGCTGTCATGAAAACCAACACATTTACATATCACAAAAAGGTAACTTTACAGGACAAGGAAAAACGTTCTTAACATTTAATGGAAGTGAATGAAAGAATATATTTTTTCTGCATTCATCATGAAATTTTGACGCAAAATGAAGGGCAACTGTTCAAATGACAAAACTGGAGATACGAGGTTATGTCCCGACTGCAGTGATATATTGCCTTATTCAGGCTAGAACAGTTTAGCTCCGCCCATTTATGCTTAAACTACAGAGAGTGCTTCAGTCTGGACTGCTTTTTGAAAACAACAAAGCCAATCAGAACAGAGCTCATTTGCATATATCAGTCTTGAAGCCACAGTCACAAAACAGCTGTTTAATTCTAAGGAATAAAGAGAGGCTGGAAATATGGTTGTCTAAAAATACATAAGTTTTCTTACTACATAAAGCCACATAAACATCATAAGTGGTCATCAGGGAAAAAATACAATGTAGGAAGATTAATAAAAATTTAAGAAATGTCAAAATAAAATAAAAGATAAATAAAACTGTAAGAGATATCTAAAATAGGTTGGATAATATAATATTCTTTCAGCAATATCATAATCAGAAATATTACTTTTATTACTGACTTTTATGATAATTTCACTTGCTGTCTTGTTTCTACCTGCTGAGGATGATGGTCTCCTCTCCGCTGATCCACACCCGCACGATGTCTCCGTATTTCTGGTTGTAGTAGTTGCTGGCCGTGCCGATCCCGGTCCAGAGAAAGCGACAGTAGGAGAGCAGAGGACCCACCCCCAGACAGAACGAGGGTCCTAACACACAAACACACGAAGGAAAACAAGGTTTAGTTTTACAGACGTTTCTTAATAACCACCTGGAACAATGCAATAGAGGTAAGATCACACGGGATGATATCTGAGGCTTTATATGTCAGCATTAAAACACAAAAACAAACAATATTATTTAGAGGAGTTCTCCTATATATACTCGAGTACAACTTCTACTAAAGTGTATTTGTAACGAAAGGAATTTTCGAATGCTAAAGATGATGCTTTCATTATTTCTGTCACTATTATTATTATTACAGTGCTCATCCATAACCCAGAAATGATCACAGTGGTTCAAATCAAAGACATAAAATAGCACACAATTCTGAAGTATCACCGTTTAAAACACTGAAGTGAACTTAATTGTCCTTTAAATTTACATAGAATGGAAATTTATATTTAACACGGATAAAAAACACTACAATATTTACATATTAAGGCACATAAAGTATGAAATTAAATGAACAACTATATAAATGGTGACTTATACAGAACTCAGGGCAACAGCAGGACAGATCAGTCTCATTAAGCCAACATTACATCAACATATCGTCCGCTTTTGAATTATAAAGTTCTACCTGCGTTCTGAGCAGTTTTGAGTTTTGAGCTTCAAAGATTTTGGATCCCAGACAGGAGAACTGATATGTGAACACATCTCTTTATACATGGAAATCACAGACACTCTAAATTTACTCTAAATGTACAAAATCAACATCCTATCAGATTTGTAAATTAGTTTTTTTGGAACAAGTCAGATGCAGATAGAACCTTCTAATCCTGAGAACTCATTTTCTGCTTGGAGTTATAAGGTTCTATCTGACAAAACATGACAAGAAGTGAAGATTTTCAGGGAACACACACAGTTTATACTCATAATTTGCTTTAAAGCATAAATCTTGTGTTGTATCAGAGTGTCTACATTATTAGAATGCTAAATTTTATGCTTTTTATGATATTTTTACGACACTTATTTTAACTATTTATTTATTTTTTATAACATTTATTTCTCATTTTAGGACAAATCATCTTTTTCTCATTCAAAAAAGGCATTGCAGATTAAGTATAAAGATCAGTGCTAAATATTTTTTTGACCAGTGCAGCGGTCAGTTTTAGGTAGGAACCATTATTTAAAGCTTCCTTCAGACAGAGACCAGCTACTGTAATAAATAGATGATGGATGGAACCTTTTTGTTTTCTAGATAAAGAGGTTAAGAAGCCACAGAATAAGAATATGTGAATAACTCAATTTTGACAAAAATGTCAGATAGAACCTTATAATTCCAAGCAGCCGATGTAACAATAAACAACCACAAACGGGTGAACAATAGAGAAATTCCTAAACAGTCTCACTGAAAACAGTCACTGCTGATAGGATAAAATATTTCTTATACAGTGTAAAAATGATAAATGTAGTCAATATATCCAAAAGTTATATTGAGAGGTTATTATAAGGTTATTATGGGATAATCTTGTAACATATTTCTAGACATTTTTGCTGATATCTGCACTGTAGGTACTTTTACTTCCTTCCAGCATTACTTCTAGAGATTATCTACCAGTGCCACGAGATCACTGCACTACACTCTTAAAGAAGATGGTGCTTCAAGGGTTCTTTAGTAAAGAAAACGGTTTTACATAGAACCATGAACACTCAGCGAATCATTAACTTGATTAAAGGGTTCTTTGCATGAAAGTGTTCTTTAGACTGATGGAGAATGTGTTGTAGATGGTTCTATATAGATTTTTTTTTTGAAAGGGGTTTTATACAGGACCAAAAAGGTTCTCTTATTATAACAGTGTCAAGCTTGTCACAATAGAAGAACCCTTTTGGGTGCTATATCAAAAAGGTTCTATATAGAGCTGTCTATAGCACATTCATGCACATTTTCCATCAATCTGAAGAACGCTTTCATGATGCAAAGAACCCTTTAATCACGCTAATGTTTCTTTAAGTGTTCGTGGTTCTGTATAGAGCCATTGTTTAATAAATAACCCTTTATACACCATCTTTTTAGGAGATAAATTACTAGAAACTGGTTTAATAATCAATTTCACAACATCAAATATGACACTTATTGATGCATTTAACCCTTTAAACTCTGTATGTCGTTCACCCTTCAGCTCCTCACTCTCATAACTGCACATTAGTTTCACAGTAAATACTGGATATCGAATCTTAACATTAGTACCTGAAAAATAAATTATCTTAAGGAGTTAAAATAAGTGTACATGATAGGATACATTTTTATAGTGTAGACTCTTAAAAAAAGATGGTTCTTCAAGGGTTCTTTAGTAAAAAAACATTCAAAGAACCACTTGCATGCTCAAATTGTTCTCTGCACGGTAAAATAATTCTTCAGATTGATGAAGAACAGCGGTCAGTTAAACTGGAGGGCAGATCAGAGCTGATGTGTTTGTGTCTGAGATGATGCAGAACCCTGAATACAGTAATACAGTCAATACAAATACAATGCTGTGATTATTTTTCGGTGCATTACTGTAAATCTCTGCAGCCTCACTCACCTGGTATGGAGCATTTTTTCTCAGTACGGTTCCACACGGCGACCAGCATGCACACACATGCCAGCAGCATAGCGGTGGTCCCACACACACTGTACCGCTCTGTGGCGGTCCCGTTTCGGGCTGGCTCCAGAAACAGCTCCATCACCGCCTGGCCGAGACGCACGGGCTTCAGCGCTTGCTCACACAACGGGAAGAGCTCGGGCGCCATGGAGACCCTGGGTGAAGTCCTGCTGCCCGAGTGCCGCTCTCAGGGTGCTTTTATATCTGCCTGCGGGAGTGAGATCAGGTCATGGGAGCCCGAAAGCCAAAACAAAAGAGGAGGCCTTTAAACAAAGCCTGAGGAACCTTGAAGCTCGGCCTACTGCCAGCTGGACGCGTCCTTGAGTATCACGCAGCAAAGGTGTGTCCAGTAACCTACACACTGCAGTAAAACGCTGGAGCTTCACTGAAACACAGTCTACAGGCTCTGCAGGTCCTTAAAATGTATTTATTTATCTAGAACTCAACTTTATCGGGCCTTAAGGCCTGAACACCCCAACCAAACATTTTCCAACAAACACCAACGTTCTAATGTTTGCAGGATGTCCAGAAAAAGAACTGACTGAAGAGCAATGTGAATGGTAAGGAGAACATTCCAGAATAGTGTGGAAGAGGAGAACATTCTAGAACAGAATGTGAATGCAAGAGAAATTCTAGAGCAGTGTGAATAGATAGAGAACATCCTAGAACAGTATAAATAGAAAGAACACTCTAGAACAGTGCAAGTGGGAGAGAACATTCCAGAACAGTGTGGAATAGGAAAACATTTTAGAAGAGAATGTGAATTTGGGAGCAATTCTAGAGCAGTGTGAATGGATTGAGAACATTCTAGAACAATGTAAATAGAAAGTACATTCTAGAACAATGCAAATAGGAGAGAACATTCCAGAACAGGGTGGAAGAGGGGGCATTCTAGAACAGAATGTGAATGTGGGAGGAATTCTAGAGCAGAGAACATTCTAGAACAGTGTAAACACACGGTACACTTTAGAAAAGTGTAAGAGGAGAGAACACTCTAGAACAGTGTAAATAGAAAGTACACTCTAGAATAATGTAAGCAGGAGAGAACATTCTAGAACAGTGTAAATAAAAAAAGTACACTTGAATAATGTAAGTAGGTGAGAACATTCTAGAACAGTGCACATGGTAAGTACACTCTAGAACAATGTAAGTGGGAGAGAACATTCTAGAACAGTATGAACAGGGGGATTGTTCTCGAGCTATGTGAATGGGGAGAGCAGTGAGAATGGGAGAGGGCATTCTAGAATAGTGGGAATGAGGAGATAACATTCAAGAACTGTGTGAATAGAGGGAGAACCTTTTATAACAGTGTGACTGAGGGGAGGATGTTCTGGGACAGTGTGAAGGGGAGAACACTTTAGAATTGTGTGAATGAAGGGAAAGACGTTCTAGGACAGTGTGACTGGGTGTAGAACGTTCTAGAAGTGTGAGCTGAGGGAACATCTGTGCTCCTGTGTGTGGGCTGACTGTACTGTCGTGTCTGAATTATGTTATGTTATTTTGTGCTTTTCATCGTGTGTGAGTGAAATAAACGCTGGGTTCTATGTTGAACAGGTCATGAAGGTTCCTCTTCATCATCAGCAGGAGTTCAGTGCAGAATGAGGGACTGTGTGAATTCACTGAACTCTCTGAACTCCTACACACATGAAAGAACTGCAAGGAACCAGACGGTGTGTGTGCAGAGACGGCTGTACAAGTACAAGAGCACGGATTCTTCAGTGTGGAGGGTGTGTGTGATGGTTTGTGTCAGCTGTGTACGTAATCAGAAAGACAGACACATAGATAGATGGACACAGACAGAAAGACAGACAGGCAGACAGATAGATAGACAGACAGATAGATAAATAGATAGATAGACAGACAGACAGATAGATAGATAGACAGACAGACAGACAGACAGATAGATAGATGGACAGATGAAGTGCAGATTAAAGTGCAGAAACAGGCTTTTTTAGGATTAAAGTTTTCATTTATCTTTACTATCAATGCTATATGTATATTTTAATGTACTGCAATGTACATTTTTCCATGTAGTGACGTTTCATGATGTATTCTATAGATGAACCTTTAACCCTAACTGCGTCACAAAACTCACACAATGTGGGGGTCCTGACAAATCAGGGACCTCCTTTATGTCTGAGAGAAAACAGAATATCTGAGGAAAGCTGGAATGCTGGGTTTTTTTCTCAGACATGTTTAATTCATAAGGGAACAGAATGTCCCTCAGAGCGACTCGGACACTGTGAATAACTATATTGTGTTTTAGAAATATTTCAGAAGTCCAGCGTGTTACGGGTCGCCTGTGGCAGAACCGGGACAAAACATGATAAACAGATGTTTTCTACCAAAATGTTGAGCTCCATAAGATTATGATTAAATAATCTAACATGCTTTATTCTAACACTCAAGTGGATGGTTAGTTCTGGATTACTGATGTTAAACCATGACGGAGCCAAATATCTGCATATTTTTATACGTTAAGGAGACATAAATGCCTCCATTCAGGAAAAAATAAAAGAAAATACCAATTCAGTACTAATTCAGTGTGACCCCTTTGGGGAAATTTATCCATGAACTTTAGAACGGCTCATTTTCCTCAAAAACAGCATCCATCCTCATCCCATCAGCTGCCTGAGAGGAAGCCGAGGCTGTTAGAGGAGCGTTTGTACAGACACGGTGGGAGGAACACTGTTTCTCATAGTGAGAGCCAGACAGCAGGAGAAAGAGTGCAGTGTTACTACTGAGAATGATGAGAAATCTGCCCAAACGCTGCACAACGTTATACAGCGCATGTGTACTGTGTATACCTGACCTCATGACCCCACCAGTAGGTCAGAGTTCAGGAGCTATAAACAGAGGCTACATCTTTTTCTCAAAGCTGAAATAATACTAAAAAAGATCTGAACAAAACAGCTGACTGCTATGAATGTGTATTCAAAGCGTTCTTTGAGTGTTCATGGTTCTATAGAGAACCATTTTCTTTACTAAAGAAGCCTTGAAGAACCATCATTTTTAAGTGTGTACAGTGATTTTGTATTTTGGTCCCATGCTTACTATGTTACACCTGCTGCCTACTGTTGGATTTGTTTAGTTTAGGGAGCACAGTGGAAATGAGCCTTCAGACTTTTTGTGTTGTTTTTAATATGTTTTACACAACCCCATTTCCAAAAAAGTTGGGATGCTGTGCAGAATGTAAATAAAAATAGAATACAATATTGCAATACCATATTTTTAAAGAAAAATACTACAAAGTCAACAAATCAAATGCTAAAACTGAGAAATGTTATTGTTTTTTTGAAAATATATGCCCATTTTGAATTTGATGCCAACAACACGTTACAAAAAAGTTGGGACGGGGGCCTGTTTACCACTGTGTTTCATCTTCTTTTGACAACACTCTGTAAGCGTTTGAGAACTGAGGAGACACTGCTGTAGTTTTGAAAGTGAAATGTTTTTCTGTTCTTGTTTGATACAGGATTTCAGCTGCTCATCAGTTCAGGGTCTCCTTTGTCGTATTTTTAATTTCATAATGCGCCAAATGTTTTCAGTGGTGACAGGTCTGAACTGGACAGGCAGGCCAGTTTAGCATCCGGACTGTTTTAAAACAGAGCAATGCTGTTGTAATACATGCAGAATGTGGTTTGACATTGTCTTGCTGAAATAATCAAGGCCTTCCCTGAAAAAGATGTCGTCTGGATGGCAGCATATGTTGACAAAACATGTATATATCATTCAGCATTAATGGTGCCTTCACAGATGTGCACGTTACCCATGTCATGTGCACTAATGCCCCCCTATACCATCATGAATACTGGCTTTTGAACCTTGATAACAAGCTGAGTGGTCTTCAGCCCAGAGGACACTTTGTCCATGATTTCCAAAAAGAATTTCAAATGTTGATTCGTCGGACCACAGGACACTTTTCCACTTCCCCTCAGTCCATTTTATATGAGCTCGGGCCCAAAGAAGGTGGCAGCGTTTCTGGATCCTGTTTATGTACGGTTTCTTCTTTGTGTTTTAGAGTTTTGACTTGCATTTGTGGATGCAGTGATGAGTTGTGTTCACACGCAGTGGATTTCAGAAGTGTTTCTGAGCCCATGCAGTGATTTCCACTAGAGAATCATATCTGTTTTTAATGCAGGAAAGGGGCCCAAAGAATCTTTTAATGTTATTATGTACTGTAGACGATGAAAAGCAAAAGTTCTTTGCTATTTTATGTAGAGAAAACATTATTCTAGAATTGCTGCCCACGCAGTCACAGAGTGGTGAACCCCTCCTCATCTTTACTTCTGAAAGACTCAGCCTCTCTGAGATGCTCTTTTTATACTCTATCATGTTACTGACCTGTTGCCAATTAACCAGCAGGTGTTTTTTTTTTCATAACAGAACGTTTTTAAAACATATTGTTAACATCAAATTCAAAATGAGCATATAATTTTCAAAAAACAATAAAATTTCTCAGTTTCAACATTTGATATGTTGTCTTTGTAGTATTTCCAATTAAATATAGGGTTTAAATGATTTGCACATCATTGCATTTGTTTTTATTTACATTTTGCACAGCGTCCCAACTTTTCTGGAAATGGGGTTGTATATATATATATGTATATATATATATATATATATATATATATATATATATATATATACATATACATATACATATATATATATATATGCATTGCTGTTTGTTTTAAAACTATGAAATGGTCTAATAAAAAATATCAATCAATCAATATTACTGTTGACAACTTTTCATTAAGTTTAAATCATAATAAAAATATCTGCTCTTATACATCCAAACACAAATACAGGTACAGATTGAAGGTTCAGAATCGGCACTTTCCACACAGTTTCCGCTTCTTTCAATGAGCTTCGAGTCTGAGATTATTCACATAAACATACAGCGTGACTTTGGTATCGCCAGCCATGTGAGTGTGTGGAAGGTTGTGACACTGGATGGCATTTTAAAGCTGTGTTGTGATGGATGGAGCCAGAATAAAGACCCTCCCACCCCCCTACCCTAACATCACTAAAAGCAGACAACATGCTGAGTGCTTTCTGCATTCAGTCAGTGACCCACAGCCTGGAGCTAAAGAGCTCCTCCTATTATCACTGAACAGCCCCATTCCACCTTTATAGTAAACTCCAGATTGTTTAGTTTGGAATTCTGCATAATTCAATGTGTGAGATGTAAACAGAGTGATTCAGAGTGGTTTGGTGTGAAATGGTTCAGATGTCTTTACAGTGGAGCTGATATGAACCAGGGGTCGCCATGACTACAACACAAATATAGACATTTTATTTACTATCCAAAACCACCAGTGAACCTACACGAGTCTTCTGAGTTTATATGGAATGTTGAAAATAGTGGAAAATCTGGAATAATAAGTTTTGTTTGGGGACTATTTTGCCTCAGCATGTATCTCTCCACCATGAATAGATTTTAAGTTCTCAAAACTGACATGAAACAGCATCTCAGACATCAGGCAGAGCATTCATAACCATTTCATGTAGTAACTTTCTGTGATGGAGCTTTTAGAGGTGGATGTCTGCTTCCTATCACCACCACTGTAAACAACTGTGAACGTTTTTTTTGGCATGAAGGTAGAAAAACAACTAAGATGACATTATTACATAATTTGTTACATAGTAAATCCCCATTATCAAAGAATTATGAAATCAGAAACCCACTCTGAGGCTCAGAAGCTGAGCAGAAAACTCTACTGTGGTTCTCTTCTCTGCTGTTCTGATGTTCTGACAGGACCTGTCAGCCAACTTCAGATCAAAACTGTAACTGGGATCTACAGAAATGGGTCAGCGTTGGAGGAAAGGAGGGAATCTCCATGTTAACGCACAGAGAGGACGGAGCTGTCTGCACGCTTTTCCTGAGGGAAGGATTCAGGATTCAGACTGGACTGTGCTGTCATTTCACATTTGGAGATATTTGGGTCAAATCACCTCCATAACTCTGAAACTTTGCCTGTTTGGTCAAAAAGTCTTCATTTTCTTTTGTTAACTATAAAGAAAGTGTTATTTGGAGTGATGCTATAAAAGAGCCACATTTGGTTCCCTAAGGAACCTTTCAATGGATGGTTCCTTAAAGAACTGGTTCTTTAAATGAGATAATGTGAGTGTGAAGAACTTTTTAGAAAACCTCTACATCATGTAAAGGTTCTTTACAAATTAAAGTTGCTCCTGGAGCCGTGCATCTAGAAGGTTCCAGTGTTCAGGTGTGTCAGATGTAATGTATAAAAAGAGCATCTACACTCTTTAAAAAGATGGTTCTTCAAGAGTTCTTTAGTAAAGACAATGGTTCTATATAGAACATGCTTTGCATGCTTAAATGGTTTGCATGGTGAGATGGTTCTTCAGATTGATGGACAATGTGCTGTACTTGGTTCTATATAGCACCAAAAATAGTTCTTATATTGTCACAAGCTTGACATAAAAACAATCTGTTTTTGTTGCTATAAAGAACCATTTTCAAAATACATGATATATATAGAACCATATACAACACATTCTCCATCAATCTGAAGAACCGATTCACAATGCAAAGAACCATTCAAGCATGCAAAGAGTTGAAGAACCATCTTTTTTAAAAGTGTAGTGTGTTATAAAACCTGACATTATAAAGCAACTGTAAAAAAGATAGTTCCTCAAGGGTTCTTTGGTAAAGACAGTGATTCTATATAGAATCATGAACACTCAAAGAGCTTTCTGCATGATTAAATGGTTCTTTGCTTGGCAAAATAGTTCTTCAGATTGATGGAGAATGTGCTGTATATAGTTCTATGTAGCACCATAAAGGTTCTGCCTTTGCTACGATGCGAAGCTTGTCACAGTCGAATCAATCTTTTTTGGTGTTATACAGAACCCTGTTCAAAAAGGTTCTACATAGAACCCTACAACAATCTCCATCAATCTGAAGAACTATTTCACCATGCAAAGAACCTTTTAATCATGCAAATGTTCTTTTGAGTGTGCATGGTTCTATACAGAACCACTGTCTTTGCTAAAGAACCCTTGAAGAACCATCTTTTTAAGAGTGTGGTACATATACAAGCTTAATTTGTATCTAAATTTCTCCCCCAATACGGTCATTATCGTTACACCAAAAACTTTACAAAGCAACTCAGTTTTGTAAACATCTGTTTATGGGGTTACCATGGAAATGCAGATGGTTGTCATGGTGATATATTAAAGTAAATGTAAAATCAAATATGCTACTATTTGAGAACTGGACCTCAGAAATGTCCATGTTTATGTCTGTATGTTGTACATGCTAGTTAGCCAGTTGGGTTAGCAAGTCCAAGACTAATCAACATTTCATCACTACCATTTTTTTTTCAATTTTTATTTTTTGTTATGTTTTTAAACAGCAGCTGTCTGCAAATTCCATGATGATCGCACCAATAAAAGTGCTCTAAATCTGCTTGAAATAAAATCACTTTACATTAACTTACATTATGAGTTAAGATTGTTTTTGCCCTCTCCTGTAAAGTTACATTTTGGGGATGTGATTGGGACATTTTAGCTGAGGATTAATTACTACATATATAATTGCCAAAAACAACTATTTTTTGTAAGATGCATCTCACTAAAAGTGTTTTATCCTTTTTTTTTGTGATTGTGTAATAATTCATTCAAATTATGCAGAATAACTGAACAGGATCTAACATCTAAACTGTGAAAAATTTCAGTTTTGGCCATTAATAATGAACACACTGATGGTCAGTAAAGCTCTGCCCTGGGCAGGACTTTCTCACTCTCTCCGTCTCTTCCACATCGCCGGCTGCTGTGGAGATATGAATTATGTCAGTCAGCCCCCGGCCTGCCCAAGAATGAGCTCTGCTGAATATAAATCAGGTGACCGCACAGACAGCGGTTCAGTTCTACAGTATCAGGCCTGGACGCTGCCCCGGCTCTCTCAGACTGACCGGCTCTTTCAGACTGCGCTGAACAACGGCTGCATTTGTGACGCCCTCGGCGCCCGCCTAAACTACTTCTTATTGTGTTGGGATTGAGATTTTCACTTTTTGGGAGTATGGACTGCAGTCGTTTGTCTACTTTTCATGAAGTTATTGCTTATTTTTCATTGAACCATTTTTTTCTAATTGTTTTTCTAATAATTCCATACATTGATTTTTCTATTTGTTTGTCCTTTTTATAAAGTGAATACTTATTTTTGTTGTGGCAGTTTTTTTTACATTTTGAAATTTTTGTTAAAATTAATTTTTCCCCAAATCTCAGATTTGATCTTCAATTTTTAAGGAAGAATGTTTTCTTCCCAGAACTTGAAATTTTCCCTTAAATTTTTGTAAAGTAAAATTTTTTTTGTGGATGACTGTTTCTTTAAGCCCAAGGCTTTTTGAATTTTCATTTAAGATTTGAAATTTTTTCATCAAATTCCACGTTTTGTCCTGAATTTTTCACAATTATTTTCATTTCACAATTCTTGATTTTGCTTTAGATTTTCCTGGAAGTCTTCTTCTGTACCCAGATGAAAATGTTGGACCCCCTGGCCGAAGCTCGTCGGGGTGGGAGTCTGCGGCCCTGCGGCGGCCGGTTGCCATGGACGCTGCGCTGGACGCTGGGCAGCGTGTGCGTGCTGACCCTGCTGAACTCGGCTGGGCTGCTGCTGCTGCTGATCCAGAGCAGAGAGCTCGGAGAACGGGTGGCTCAGGCCGAGTCCCGGCTGGAGGAGATCGCTCAGAGCTCCGTGGTGGAGTTCATGACGGAGATGAGCCGAGGTCAGGAGGAGATACAGGAGGAGCTTTATCAGTACTCCAGAAACAAGAGGAGCCAGGAGCTGAGGCAGGCGCAGGTTCTGGAGCAGCTGGAGCTGGAGGAGAAGCTGGCAGAACAGTCAGGGATGGGGATCGGAGAGGATCTGCCCAAAGACCTCCATCGAGAAGCGGATCATGAGCGGAAGAAGCTTCAGGAGCATCCAGACGTCCATCCCTCTCAGACCCACCAGAGAACACAGCTACACGATGGAATGATGATGATGATGACGTACTCCATGGTGCCGGTAAGGAAGAACAGCCTGGAAGTCAGAACCGTTTAAGGAACATCTCTTCTTACAAACAAGTGTGGAAATTTCAGAGTGTAAACTTTAAAATACAGAACACATTTGTGTTTGTAAGCAGAACATTTTTTACTATGATTCACTTTTGTGCGTACACTCTTCAAAAAGATGGTTCTTCAAGGGTTCTTTAGTGGAGACAATGATTCTTTATAGAACCATAAACACTCAAAGAACCATTTCATGCTTAAACAGTTCTTTACACAGTGAAATTGTTCTTCAGATTGATGAAGAATGTGTTGAATATGGTTCTATATAGAACTTATTTGAAATGGTTCTATACAGCACCAAAAGGGGTTCTTTTATTGTAACAAACTTGACATTGTGACAATAGCATAACCCTTTTTGGTGCTATATAGAACGACCTGCATGCTTAAATGTGCCTTTGCTTCGTGGAATGGTTCTTCAGATTGATGGAGAATGTGTTGTATATGGTTCTATACAGAATGTTTTTGAAAGTGGTTCTGTTATTGTTCATGATGTCAAGCTTGTAACAATAGCAGAACCCTTTTTTGCTGCCGTATAGAACCATATACAACATATTCTCCATCAATCTGAAGAACCATTTCACCATGCAAAGAAGCATTTAAGCATGCAGATGGCTCCTTCAGTATGTATGGTTCTATAAAGAACCACTGTCTTTACTCAAGAACCCTTGAAGAACCATCTTTTTTAAGTGTGAACTGTCTTGTTTTGAGGAAAGAAAAACTGTCCTTTACATTTTTCCATTATGTTTTTGTCATTTTTTTTTTGTCTAAACATAAACATAAACTGAATGTGAATGTAAATCATTTCTACATAACTGTGTGATTATATTATTATATATGAATAATTATGTCATGTAAATCAAACATAGAGTGAAATGACAGTCAAAACTCTAAAAGGCCCTGAAAGTTTAAGTAAATAAACAGCAGGAATGCTTTCTAAGAATCAAAGGATGTGAAAATATGGACGGATGCTGTTTTTCACTAGAGTTTAGGGTGAACGTCTGGACACTTCATAGTGCTATAGTTCCATATAGAACCTTTCTGACTTCTCTAGTAGATTAGCGACTACAAATGAGAACTGTGCGAATTTGCTTCCTTGACGTTGCACGTCCTGCAATGTGACCACTGCACATGCGTATATTGTGATGACGATGCTGAAACGATACACTGTACAGCCCTAATTTACACGCCACCAATAATGATTACAGTTATCAGTAGTAAGTCCTGACTAGTAGAGCTTCACCACATCAGAAGGAGACCTGGAGGCTCCTGTTTGATTTTTCTGAATTAAATGAGCTGCTCTGCTTTTCCAGATGTCAGGATGTTAGTCAAAAACTTCATTTATATCATGCATATTACAAGCAAAAATAATGCTGCAAATATGTTCATTAATTTATCACCTTCTGTCCAGTTTTTTTAAAGAGGAAAGTAAGGAATTGTCCCAAATTCTAGGTTTAGCAGAGGCTCTTTTGGGTTTTTGAAAAGTGAAACAGAGATTTAAAGCCTTTTATAAAGGTTTCCTGTTAAACGCTTTGAGATGGAGATCACTGTAAAAGGTGAAGAGAGTGGTATTTCTGAAAATGCCCCACTTTAGCAATATTCACACTAATCATCTAAAGGTGTGTGGTCAATAAAAAGAGAAACTTTTGAGTAAATAAAGTATAATTTTAGTGTTTGAGAGGAAAATGTGTGTAAACTAAAATGGTTTGTGATCCGAACGTTTCAAAAAGTCTTGCTCTTACATCAGCAAATGAACTAACACTGTAACCATCAGGACATCAAGTGCTAACACACTGTAAAAAGTACATAAACGTCCTTTTTTCAATGAAAAACAAAGTTTATGCTATTAACATCTATTATTTTGGTTGTATTGGTCATTTTACCACCAATAAATGACCGGCTGCTGCTGCTCTTCCAGGTGAAAGTCTTGTTGGATATCTGTAACAGCACTAAAGGAGTCTGCCTCACTGGTGAGTCTGAGCTCCTCTTTACCTGGCTTTTCATTTTAAACTCTTAAAACAAATACATCTTTGACGTTCTCTACTTGATTATTATTATTAGTATTAACATTCTTCTTCCTTTAACAGGACCCCCCGGACCACCAGGTAAGATATAAACCGCCAGCAAATGTGGATGATATTTTAAAATGTTCAAACATATGGATACATAAGTAAAATAAATTACATTATCATTGGGAATTTCAGGTTTACCAGGTGTGGATGGAATGCCAGGATATAATGGGACTGATGGAATTCCTGGACTTCCAGGAGAACCTGGAACACATGGGAAGCGAGGGAAAAAAGGTCAGATTCATTAAATAGCCAAGAATTCTGTCCAGTAGGCTCTTCGCAGTGACTGGTCAAAGGGTTGGGAATTCTGTTCATTCTAGCATTACTTTCCCAGTGATTTGACAAAGGTTTGGGAATTCTGTTCATTAAGCCATTACACTCCCAGTGACCTATCATAGGTTTGGGAATTCAGTCCATTATATCATTCCAGTCCCATAATGCATCGTAGGTTTAGGAATTCTGTCCATTTTATCATTCCAGTCCCAGTGATCCATCAAAAGGTTGGGAATTCTGTCTGTTATACCATTTTCAGTGATCTGTCAGAGAGCGGGCAATCTATCCATTACAGCATTCCCAGTGATCTATATTAGGGTTGGAAATTCTGTCCATTACACATTCCCATTTCCATTGATGCAACAAAGGGCTGGGAATTCTGTCCATTAAAGCATTCTCACTGACCCAACAAAGGGCTGGGAATTCTGTCCATTACAGCATTCTCACTGACCCATCAAAGGTCTGGGAATTCTGTCCATTAAAGCATTCTCACTGACCCGTCAAAGGGCAGGAATTTTTGTCCATTAGACTCAGTGAATGAGGAGACTGGGGTAACGCTGGAAGAAAGATCAGAGCAGCTCCTTGTGAAAGCCTGCCCTCATTTTAAGCATCCTGACGTTCCAGCTGTAGATGAGAGCTTTTCTCCATTCAGTGAACAGAAATGTTATTCCGCTTCAGTCACAGTGCGGAACAGAAAGGCCTCTGAGGAGCCGTTTACAGGAAACGATGGCAGCCACAGTTGTGGTTTCTGAGGTTTTCATGCTGATAAAGACTGAGAACCCACTTGCATTGCTGGAGGAGCTGCAGTGAGTCACAGAGGAGACTGAATGAAATTCTTTATGCCGCTTCGGGAAAATATTTGAACTGACTGTAAAAATGATAAATGATAAACAGGGCATCCGGTGACGTGGTTGAAACCGTTCCAGAATATATTCAGTAACAATATAAGAACAAGAACATTTATTAATGCTAATAAGAGCATACAGACATTTTACTGACTGTAAATAAATAAGGAAAAATTTGTTCAGTGAATGAAATCAAGTGTGAACACTTCGTACATCTGCCGAAACATTAATAACTGTCCTTTAAGTGGAAATAGATGAAAACTATAAGCAAAACCTTTATGCAGTTAAAAAAAGTTGCACATTTCACAACTTCCGGTCAGTGGAAGCAGTTAGCTGGCAGGCTAAATAACCTTAGCCAAATAGCTCCTGTGCTCTTTTACTATTTCTGTAATTTTTAACCAGAACGTCAGCTATTTATTAAACCAAAGGTTGTTGCTGACACCTTCTATTGCTAAAGTTACTGTTAGCTAGATAATTTAGCTAATGTATGCATTAATGTTAAGCTAATGGGTGAGCTTTGTTAGCCAGACTGCAAAAAATTGGTATCTTTGGCAAATGTAATTATCTAAAATCTAGGCAATATATTTAATATTTCTCATTTTGAAATAGTTGTAAGCTTATTATAGGATTATTTCTAGACATTTTACATTTTAAGTGATTTAGTCAAACTTTCTCACTATATTGGCGGATAAATTTGCTTGTTAAAATATATTTTTTATTTATATTTTTTATTTGTTTGGGGCAATAATAAAAACAATTGGTGTTTTTTTTTTCATCTTTTTTGGCCCCACAATTTTTAAAATATTCGAGATGTCACTTTGTGGCAAATACAGTGACTCAAAATGAGTTCTACCAAATGGTTAAGCAGAACATTAAAGGGTGAAATGGTTCTCTGCATGGTGAAAATGTCCTTCAGGTTGATGGACAATGTGTTATTTTTATTTTCATTTTTGTTGTTTTTCAGTATTTGACATAATGTGAAAATGTCTGTTGCCCTTTACGTTGTGTGCAAATTTCATGATGAATGGACCAAAAGAAACGGCCCAAAATGACTTGGAAAAAAAGTCTGGTTCCATTGACTTACATTAAAAGTAAAATATGTTTTTTTCTTCTCCTGTTCCCATTTTGGAGACACAAGGTTTTCTTCGGACAGCAGTGATATGGTTCTATATAGCACCAAAAAGGATTCTTCTATTGTGAAGACATCAAGCTTGTAACAATAGAAAAACCCTTTTCAGTGCTATATAGAGCTCTTTTCAAAAAGGTTCTATATAGAACCATATACCAAAAAATCCCCATCAACCAGAACAACAATTTCACGATGCAAAGAACTCTTTAAGCATGCAAATGGTTCTTTGAGTGCTTATGGTTCTATACAGAACCACTGTCTTTACTAAAGAACCTATGAAGAACCATCTTTAAGAGCGTATTGAGATAATTGGACTTACTAAAATAATTTAAAACAAGTAAAAAATAGGAAATAAATTCAACAAACAATCTTGTAAGCTAATAATCTCAATAAGAATTATTAGATATATCAACTATATTTAAGATAATTACACGACATCATTTTTTTCTTTTGCTGTGCAATGAAGCCAGTGAAACCCAGCATCAGAATGTGGGTGCACACTGTAAAATGAACAGTAACTGGACACGTTTTTCAGTGAATACCACTTTAACTCTTGAGTGATTTTCTTTATTAATATTTTTACTTGTATTGAAGTGAACTAGTGCTACAGTAGCAGTAGAGACTTTCAGTATTTCTTTTCAGCTCAAGCTTAAAGAAGTGCTTCTGTGTTTTTTTTTTTTTTTTGTTAGGTCCTCCTGGAGAAAAAGGTGACCGAGGTGAGCCTGGGGAGAAAGGTGACCCAGGACCACCTGGAGAAAAAGGAGAACCTTCTAACGACGTAATTGTAGAAGGTAAACACCACCAAGCTAAATGTAAAGCTAACCAAGCACAACTTTAACATCGAGACAGTAAGATTCAGGTAATAAGAACCTTAACAAGAGTTGTGAAATGACACATTTGGTGTGTTACATCATCAGTCATATGACTCCACCGTGTAGCCTTAATGCGACAAGACTTAAATTAAATATTTCACAGTTTTAATGAAAAAGCAGTACTCATTGTTTTACTTACAATACGCACTGTATTTTATACTAAGCAACACTTCTCCTCTCAGGAACTTTATATTCTTCTTGTTTACCTGGCAGGTCCACCTGGTCCAGCAGGGCCTCCTGGTGCCCCAGGTCCAATGGGGCCACCTGGGCTTCCGGGACCACCTGGACCACCCAGGTCTGGGAGAAACAGAAGCCACAGAGCGCACCTGCACACTGACCAAACAACTGAAGGGCACACAGGTACTACTGCTTTTGAAGAAAAGCCATGAAAGGCTTAGGTCCAGTCGAGGAGGAAGGAACCAATATGAACCCCTTAATCTCTAAGGGTCTCTATGCAGGACCACTGAGATTACTGAATAATTCATAGTAGATACTGAATGATTCATAGTGGATACTGAATAATTCATAGTAGATAGTGAATGATTCATAGTGCATACTTAACAATTCATAGTAGATGCTGAATAATTCATAGAAGTTATTAAATAATTCACAGTAGATACTGAATAATTCATAGTAGATACTGAATAATTCATAGTAGACACTGAATAATTCAGAGGAGTTATTAAATAATTCACAGCATATACAGAATAATTCATAGTAGATACTGAATAATTCATAGTAGACACTGAATAATTTAATAATAATAATAAATCAGAATTTAGATTTTGCAATAATAATGATGAATAATGAATAATGTTGTTACTGTTTCACCACAGGTTTCCTTCAAACAGTCCCAAATGACGGCCAAGGACCAGGAAATAAAGTCAAAGCCTCAAAAAATGGTAAAAAATTCTGTCTTCACTAAATTAAATAAAACCCAGGTTTACTGATGTATTAACTTTGTATTTTTGTGGCAGAGTGCATTATTAAGTCAGTGCAGAACCCAAGTAATCTGGCTAAAATGACCACCACATACGGAGCCTGGATGAAAGACACAGCAGTAAAGGACGACGAGAAGATCTGGGTGGCAGAACATTTCTCAGGTACGAGCGCATTTGGAGATTCAGCTGTGTTTACAGACATATTTCATGTCACTGTTTTTTAAATTAAGACATAAGTACACCACTAATTATAAATACATAATACATGGTACACTGGATTTTTCATTCAATATGTTCTGCATTGCCCTGTTTAATGTGGAGTTGGTCTGCTGCAGGTCGCATTGTAAAGGCGTATAAGAGCATCGCTGCTCTGCAGAACAGCAGCAGTCAGTCTATCGATGTTAGGAAGTTCTTCCAAGGCTGCAGTCACCTGGTTCACAATGGCTACATCTACTTCCACATCGCCGGCACCTTCAACATCGCCAAGTGAGCAAATGATCCCTTAACTCCTCCCCAACTGCAAGTGCTTTCATACGACATATATTGTTTTTCATACTAACATTTTTGAACATTTTATTAATAAGAGAGATGTGAACACATGCTGAAACCATATGGGTCAGTAAAAGGATGCACAGAGGAGTGACCTTTCTTTGAGAATGAAGGTCATCAGCATGCTCTTTACAGTAGCCCTGTGCAGGGAAGGCTGGGAACAGTGTTTTAGCTGCTCTTAAAAATGCTTCTTTTTGATGGATAAATCAGGAATTTTCTGATTTCTTTTAATATAGTCTCTATTTTTTGGACAAAAATAATAAATTAATTAGATTAAACAATTCTGAATAATTTCAGATACTATAAAATTTGTATATCAAAATGATTCACATGTAAATAGTGCAGTCACATTCACTCCATTTTTTAAAAGGTAATACCTTCCATGAGTGTATTCTGTGTATGATTATATGAAACTATGAACACATTTATAACACGTTATAATGCATTCATGATATTAAAGAAAATCTGTTAAAATGTACTGCTAAGCCGGCAGTGATTAGTTGGCAGTTTGCACGATGACAACTCATTTTTTATATTTGCCTCCTGCTCTCTTACAGTTTGATACAGAGCTTGATGGACACGTACATTTATGTATATTTTCTAGTTCGTTCTTTTTATAGCTAAGTCCATTTTTTATTGTATGGCCTTTTTACAAACTCTGATTATTCAATTAATGCTTAAAATAACAGAGAACAGAGAACACGCTATATGTAATAATAAAACAAGGTCTTTGCAAAAGTTATGACACATTTTATAATTTATTTTTCCCCAATATGTAAAACTAAATAAATTGAAATGGTGCACTGAGATGTACAGAAAAATACCAGACTTAAACTGTGAACTGTGGTTAAACTTCTATGTATGACTATATAACTATAACAAGCTCCACTGCTTTTTACATGGAAATACTTTCTTTAGCATCAAATTTGAGCAAGTAAGACATGCAGTTAATCACAGGCCAAAAGACCAAATAATATGGAAGCAAATAAAAATTCTGCTTTAAAATGTGCAGAAAAGTGTCATATTTAAGTATGTTCTTTATTCTTAGAGGATGTGTTAACTCATGAAAACCATCAGCACATGTCATTTGACCAAGGGTGTCTGACCTGTATGATCAGCAGCTCTACTTGTAAATACTAATAATATCTGACAATCTGACAGGTTTAATCTCCAGACGAATCGCTTGCACACACTGGCCATAGAGAACGCGCTCTACCACAACCTGTCGTACCTGCTCAACAACTCCAAGACGTACTTTAAAGTGGCAGCGGACGAGAGCGGGCTGTGGCTCATCTTTGCCTCCAGCATCGACGAGAACATCGTGGTGGCCCAGCTGGACGAGAAGACGTTCTCCATCACGACATACATCAACACCAGCTATCCCAGAAGCAAAGCTGGAAACGCCTTCATCGCCTGTGGCGTTCTTTATGTCACCGACACCAAAGACACCAGAGTGACCTACGCTTTCGACCTGCTGAAACAGAAACCGGTCAACGTAAGCTTTGACCTGTGGTCTCCTTCTGGAGTCCTGGCCATGCTGTCCTACAATCCTACAGATAGACACCTGTATGTGTGGGACGGCGGATATGTAAAGTCATACGAAGTGCATTTTCTGTCTGACGAACGAGCTGGTTAAAGCTGTAAACTGTGATTGGATCTGATTATGATTCTTCAAATTTCTCCATAATTCAGCTTATTTTGGGACAATTAAGACTGGAGGATAAATAGGGGAATAAATAGGGGAGAGATTTTCATTTTGGCCAAAAAAAAGACCCAATATTTTAAATTTTGTATTAAAATTTATTATAATTAATTCATTTTTGCTGCTTTATGGAGTCTACAATAAGTTATTTTTGTGTGATTCTGGGAGGATTTTATGTTTTTCATGTCATGTATATGTTTTTATTAGTTTTTGCAACAAAAAACCTCCAATTTCAGAATTTGACCTGACTCAGAAGTATCTTTTAAAATTTAACCAGAGGAAACATTTACACAATAGTGGAATATAGACATAAAACTTATTATAGCTATTTATAGATCTTTATATTTAAAAACAGGAATTTTATTTTTGGCCAAAATATTTTTTTCCAAAATCAATATCAGCTGAATCACCAGCTCCAGATCAATGCCTCACAATGCACTGATGTATTTAACACCCATATTGAAGCTCCAGCCTAAACAGATGTATAAACAGGTTTACACACTAAACACACCTTTATCGTGCACAGCAATGTGGTTTTATTTACTACTGTTCATATGAAATATCTGACTTCTATCATCATGACGTTGAGACTAACAGAGAGCAACTAAATCTAACAGGGCTAAAAATTTGTTGTGTATAATTTTATGTATGCATTTATGTATTGCACTGCATTTTGTTTATATGTTACAGATGTTGTTTGTAACACTATCCTCCTACACAAAATTGAAGGTGTTGTATTTTGGCGTATATGATTATGAACCTTGTATATACATTTTCTGATGACTTACAGCACGCTCTATACCCGTAACTGTTTTTTGTAACATGCTGTCCTTTGTTGAATATTATACGTTTTGTGTATATTTAAAGAAATAAATATATTCTAAAATACATTTGTTAACCTGAACAGGTGTCAGTAAACTTGAATGAAAACCTTTAGCCACTTCAGTGAAACAGGCCTTAAAAATGGTCCTCTTGAAATAAAAAGAATTTATTCAACTTACTTACAAAGGTAAAACTTTGACCATGATAGAACAACCTTTTCTTCCAGAAATTTCCACCAGGGCTTTTAAATGTGCACTTCCTCACACAGACAGCATAACCTGTTCAATAAATACACAACAGACGAGAAGCAAAAGGACCACTGGTTCAACACTCAGATACATACAGTGGACATGGTGGCCAGCAGACCAGACACAAACACAAAGGTCTTTAATAAATATACCACATACATCCAACCAAATATACAACTATTCCAGCAGGTATGATAAAAACAAAACAAAATAACAATACAAATAATAATAAACTAAAAATCTTGCTGTGTTTGTACAAGCTATGTTGATAGTTCATTTATATATATTTATTTATATATATATTCATTTAAAACTATTTGAAATTTTATACTACTCGGCCACACATAGCCAGACATTCATTTGTATATATAACAGTTTTCCCCTATAATAGCTTTTCACTCTTTAACTTAAGATTTTATATAGTGTCTCCAGATTTGAGTGCAAATATTCATATATGGATTGAACACTTAATGAAAACGAAACGACCAACCTATTCAGTGACGCACTGTGTCCCAGATATCTAAAGGATTAACCTTACAATCCTATTGTAAAGGCAATAAGTTAATAATTTAAATACAAATACAGTAGTCTGTAAAGGAACAAACAAAACGAGAACATTAGGTTAAAAATAAAAAACAAAATAGAACAAAAAACAACAAATACATACACATTTTGTGCAAAACCAAAAACTGAAACTGAGAGTTTCTGGTCAAAGTGAATATTTCAGTGTCTGAAAAATAAGAGTAAACATCTCAAACCACTGCTGACGGGAACACACAGCATCTTCCCAATGGAATGTTCTGCAGAGAGGCTGCTATGGAAGCAGGAGTGGTGGAACAGGAGAGTGAGACAAATTTAACAGGAGAGAACAAGGTTAAAGTGCAGATATGGAATGAAAGTGGTTCAGTAACTCTGAGTAAAGGAATGAGACTGTTTAAACTGCAGCTCTATAATGAGAACGAGGGATGAAATAAGGAGAGGTATTACTGCAGATTTAGAACAGGAAAGAGACATTTAACCGCAGATACAGGAATGAGACTGAGATGGTGTAATTATACATACAGAAAAGTAACAAAGGTTTAATTTTAGATACTGGAGGTGAGAGTGAGGTTTAACTGCACATATTGGTGAGAGTAAGACAGGTTTAACTGCAGGTACAGGAGAGAGCAAGACAGGTTTAATGTAGATATGGGTTGAGAATAAGACAGGTTTAACTGCAGGTATAGGTTGAGAGTGAGACAGGTTTCACTGCAGGTATTGCTGAGAGTAAGATAGGCTTCCCTGCAGGTATAGGAGAGGGTAACACAGGTTTCACTGCTTGTACAGGCTGAAGGTAAGACAGGTTTAACCGCAGGTACAGGTTGAGAGTAAGACAGGTTTCAGTACAGGTATCAGTGAGAGTAAGACAGGCCTCACTGCAGGTATAGGACAGAGACTGGTTTAATTGGACATACAGGTGAGAGTGAGACAGATGTAACTGTAGGTAAAGGGGTGAGAGTGACTAAGGTCTAACTGCAGGTCTAGGATGAGACAAACCATTTTAACTGCAGGTCTGGGATGAAACTGACAGGTTTACTTACAGGTACACATTCAGAGTGAAACAGGTTTAATTTAGCTAACGGAGGTGAGAGTGAGACAGGTTTAACAGCAGACATGGTATGAAAAGACTGGGTATAAGATAGGAAATCTAACTGTAGACTTGAGAGGGAGTGAATGGGTTAACTGTAGATATACACCGCGAAAGACATGGCAAGTGAAAGCATATTAAACACAGATAAAATATATAATAATTATTCATTAAGAGATTGTTGTAAGATTACTCAACTTATTTTTAGACATTTCAACTTAAATAAAACTATCTTACTGCACTGGCAGACAATTTTGCTTTTAGGACATAATGCTATCATCACAAAATAAAGTGCAGTGAGATCATTTCTCTTGGTGAAGTTACTTAAAATAAGTAAAAACATCTTGAATAACCGTATAATATTCTCACAACAACCTCAAAATAAGAAATATTACATAAATCGATTACATTTTAAGATGATATCACTTGACAAGTTGTAATTTTCAGCAGTGCAGGTAAAGATGAGACTGGTTTAACCAGGTAAGGGAAAAGAGGAGAAAGGTTTAACTGCAGATGACGGGAGTGAGAGTGAGACAGTTTTGATAGTAGCCATGTGGAAGAGAGTGAGACACGTTCAATAGCAGCTATGGGGCGACAAACGTTTTTTCACTGCGTCCCCGATATCAGGGGAACAGGGCTCTGTGCCGTTTCAAACTCTGCAATGTGTGAGCAGCCGAGGAAATAACTTACAGTAATAAATAAAAAAAAAAACGCAGATGCAACAACTTTGAGTTCACTGACTGACCGACTGGGTACTGAAGCACAGTGCTGGTAAGTTAAGATGCTAAAAGTTTATCAGCTGTGGGCACAAAATGACGACAGATACACACTTAAAAATTTTTGCTTTGAGCACTTTTACAGAGCACGATCAACAATCTTGTGAATGCACCGCAGTGACAAGTTTCAGCACATGCATAGCTTTCCTATGAGAACACTCTAACGAGCGAGCTTAACAGGCCTGAGCCCAGCACTCGCAAAAAATTACAGTAATCTATTCTTTAGGATCAAGTATGTAACCTCGCATTTGCTTTTCACGCTTTGGGGAGAAATAAAAAACAGAAAGACATTTTGCAGCGCAAAGTTACATTTGATTCACAGCTAAGGTAAACGAACAGGTTTGCTGCTCAAAGCTTTAGTTATTTTTCGACCGTCTCGGTCATCGTTGAAAGCCGCCTCTGGGTTATAGGATGTCGAAGATGCTGGCCGGGATGTTGTAGCGGTCGGGAAGGACTCTCATCTTCAGCGTGCCGTCGGCTCCGCAGGTGAAGATGCGGTTACCTGGGCAGGTCTCGATCTGCATCACACCCGCACCAATGTTGCGGAAGATGGACTGCTTGGCGTGTTCGCTGCTGAAAGAGTGCATCAGCCCGTGACCTGCTAACTTCCAAACCTGCAGGAGCAGACAGAGAAACTCATTAAACCCCTAAACTGCTATAACGTATTCAACAACCTCTATAAATTATCTACTCACTATGAATTATTTAGTATCTACTATAAATCATTCAGCAACTACCAGAAATTGTTCTGTAAATTCTATAAATTATTTAATTACTTCTATACATCATTCAGTGACAACTATGATTTATTCAGTATCTACTATGAATTATTTAGTATCTACTTTGAATAATCCTGTATCTATTATAAATCTACTATAAATCAATCTTAAATTTGACACTATAATTGGTATGTACTACAAATTATTCAGTATCTATTATAAATGTATACTATTAATTTGATACTATAATTTGTATTAACTACAAATTTTTAAGCATCAACTATAAATTATCCAGTACCTAGTATGAATTATTTAGTATCTATTATAAATGTACATGATTCATTTGATACTATAATTTGTATTACTACAAATTATTCAGTATTTGCAATGAATTATTCAGTATCTACTATGAACTGTTCAGTGTCTTTTTTAAATTACTCAGTATCACCTATGAATTATTTAGTATCTATGAATTATTCAGTAACTTATGAATTATTCAGCATCTACAATGAATTATTAACTACTATCAATTATTCAGTTACTGTGATAAACTGTTCTGTAACTACTACTATTTATTCACTGTCTACTATACATTATTCCAAAGCTTCTATAAATTAGTCAGAAACTACTACGAATAATTCAGTAACTACTATGATACTAATACGTAGGAGCTTTGTAGTTATGAGAGTGAGCAAAAAAGGATCATAGTGGATCATAAGGATCATAGTGGATCATAAATGGCACCAATGAGCAACTTACAGCAATATAACTGATATAATGGTGTGATGAAAATAATGACTTAATATAAATACAAATGTAAAAATGTATTAAGCACTATTTTAGGGTATATTAACATGATAATGACTTATAACTGAACTCAACAGGGGGAATCCGCACCTTCATGTTGCCCTCGGCAGACCCGGTAACAAAGAAGTCCTCGCTGGAGTCCATGGCTAGAGCTTTGATGGCTGAATCGTGGGCCTGGAAGGTGTGCAGCAGCTGCCTCTGCCGAATATCAAATATACACACGAAACCCTTCCTCCCTCCGGAAATAATCAGTTGCTGCTTAGGAGCGTACTGCAGAACCGTCGCTCCGTTCTCATGGCAGGGGAAGGCTGCACACACACACAAACACATACAGAAACACGTATTCATGTAGAGAAGCATACTATACATAACAGAGACAAACAGTCCAAGCAGATTAATACTTTAAGGCTGATTTCTCTGCTGTTTCATTATCTCTTCTTGTTAATGACGCAATCTAAACATTGTTGCTGTATTTATCTAATATGTGAAGAACGTGATCTGCGAAAGACAAAAATTCTGGAATTTCTACTAAATTTATTTCACAAACTACATCTTCAGATTGATTTAATCGTGTTGCATTTTTTCCTGTTTTTGTGATCTATTTCACCTTGAATAGACAAACACAGGTCATTACTGAGTCTGGGTGGCAGTATAAACTCACCATGCACCATGGTGTTACTGGGGGAGATCAGAGTGTCCCACAGACACACATTCCTGCAGGAGAAAGGAGAAAAGTCAGTAAGGATGAGTTTCTTTTTCAGCTAAATTTTACTCTTTTATTAATCAATCATCCTTTTGGATTTTGTTTGTATCTATACCTAACGTTTTAAAATAAGTGTAAAGCATTTTGCATTTTTTTTTTAAAGTTGTTGCATCAATAAAATGTATTATTATTATTCTGTTATTTTAGGGTGGCCCAAACAGAATTTTACAGGCTTTGAAAACTCAAAAACTTGAATACTCATTCCCAAAATCACCCTTGGAAACAATAACATTTTAAGTCCTTCTTGTTGTCTGTCCGACGGAACAGATATGCTTCCCTTTAAATCAGTGTTTTGTCAACACCGGAGCAGGCTCTACTTTGGTGTAACAAACAGATCTGCTGTTTGTGCTGTCAAGTTTTAAACCTTCTGTGAAACTGTTTAATTACAGAATAAAAGAAGTAGTATTATAGATTTTATTGAGATTATAGACTATAGAGGTTCAGACCTGCCGTCGTTGGAGTGTCCTGCTGTGGCGATTAGGCTGGAGGAGGTGATGAAGGCAAAATCACCACAGGTTTTACTGTGGCACTGCCAACTCTGAGAGAGAGAGAGAGAGAGAGAGAGAGAGAGAGAGAGAGAGAGAGAGAGGGGGGGGGGGGAGGAGAGAGAGAGAGAGAGAGAGAGAGAGAGAGAGAGAGAGAGAGAGAGAGAGAGAGAGAGAGAGAGAGAGAGAGAGAGAGAGAGAGAGAGAGAGAGAGAGAGATTAGAAGACCTAATTACAAGACAAAGAAATGCATGGAGAATGCGTTATGCTTTAAACAATGTAAGTATAGATCTTAAATATTAAAGGAATATTAAAGATGGCTAAACAGAGAAACCGCCAGATTCTGAGAACAGAAACACAGCTGTTAGCTGCTGGCTGTGAGCCCACTCACCAAATATGGTTTGGGGTTTGATGAGGTCTGATTGACTTGCCAGAGGCTTAAAAATCCTTCACCATCTGCCACTCCACACTGAGAGAGAGAGAGAGAGAGAGAGAGAGAGAGAGAGAGAGAGAGAGAGAGAGAGAGAGAGAGAGAAAAGAGAGGAAAACAGATTTTCAGAATTATGCTTGATGATGTTTTCCTATTTTTCCTTTTTTTGACATCCTATCAAAAAGCAGAAATCTGCATATCATCATGATGGCACTGCACTCTTTCATGAGTGGCACTTCACATTTTTGAAACTTGGCAAGACTGACACACCATGGTCAATTAGACCTTCTGTTCTGGCCATAACTGTCAAAACTTAGTCAAAAACGTATCCCCCCTAACATGACTGTGTGTAGAAGTCAGTGAACTCTCCATAGCCTTGGTTTACCCAATAACTGCTATGATGAGGCTGATTTTCACTAGCGCTACCAGCAGATTTGTAATGCTATGTTATCTCTGGTGCACATAAACAGTTTTTGTCTGTTCAAGATTAAACACAAACATTTGAAGCTTATAAAAGGTGTTTTATTTGAATCTTATAACAGACATTAACATATATTCGGGCTTATATGTATCAGACACTACAACTAACTGGAACACTGCTTAGACTCTGACTTGTTTTCACAGTCAGGGATGTATCTGGAACTTCTAGAAGACTTTTTTCCTCTCTTACCAGCCCACTGTAAATCAAAGGGTGACTGGCCGATTACTCTGTCACTTCCTAATTATATTGGCAGTTAATCTAATGTGAAAGGCCTTCAGTCCAGCTCCAAACCAATGGGAGAGCTCGCATGGCTGTATCTACCTAGATACCACAGAGCACCAAACAATTCTGATTGGACAATTTGCCTTTCAGTTCCAGCCAAATAAGAGCAGCGCTGTTATTTTAGCAACAAACACAACAGTAACTAAAGTGTTATTTGCTCTGTGATTTAGACTGAACCATGTATAATTATCTATATCTTAGTTTCCTCACTGTGTACCGCACTAAGGCTTAGAGGCTGGGATATGTGGCATAAAGATGTGTGTACCTTATTGCCCTGTGAGTTGAAATAGAGGCGAGTAACTCTGGCGTTTCCAGCTTGTCGGAAGCAGATGAGCTGCTGCGGGCGATTCCACTCAAACATCCGCACACTGCCGTCCTGAGCTCCTGTCATATCTACACACAAACACAAGACATTGCATATATCACAAATCTGTCAAGTCTACTGAGAAAGGCATATAGGGTTAAGTAACTGAAAATATGTATCTAGTTATGCATTACAGTACAAAAGTCTCAGCATTTAAAACTATTTATGTGGGCAGTATGTGTGGTTCGCCTGTAAAAAACACAACATCAGTAGATTTAGTAAAATGCAAGAAGAATGTGTTGTTTTCGGTAATCAACACCTCCAGCCATTGCATGGATTTGTTAAATTTTATCAGCAGCACCTGATTCAATTTGATGCAGGACTGATAAGATAAACCAGCTATTGGATGTTAACTGTAAATACTGGACTTTCTTGGGAAGAGGAATAGAGTGTTAATTTATTTGTATTTATTCTAATGTTAGTAAACAAATAAATGTTTACTGCCTAAATAAATGGCTTTACAGATCATTCTCTCAGATGCCTAAGACATGCTCTATACTGTCCATCTCAATTCTAGTAAAAATGTTAGATCACCTAATACATAACAACCCACATGGTTGTAACATGTTACATTCTCATAAACATACTCACAGTATTGGTAAATAGGATGGGACGTCATTCTCTTCACATTGTTTAAATTCCTCTTTACAATCTGAGGAACAAAACACAAACATCCATCAGTTATTGGTATCTTGAACCTTCTGCACACTGTTTAACACTCCTGCTGTAATGGTGCCTTAGATACTTGCATTATTGTTGTTTATTTTGCACTACTGCAGGTACGGAGCTGTATTACTATATTTCTGTCGCTTTAGTCATGACTTCTTGGTAATCTTGGCTTTATTTTAGGTGACCGATATAATGGCTTTAAAATGTTCTTATTACAGCTTATCAAGCCAGTAGTTGCTAATTAACTGGCTGCTTTATTAAATAATAAGTAGAGTGAATTACGCATTTTCCACAGCACTTTTCCCTGTGTATTATATACCATAGTGTGCACAACCCTTCTCTGAGCCCTGTGTAATGGAGTACTGCTTGGAATGTGCATATTTTCTTTGGATTCTTATCAATATCTCAGTTTATAATAAAGTGATTTATCAACACTCCAGTAAATCACCAATTAATTCTTACCAATACAATACATCTTACCATTACCCTCAGTAAATCACCAACTGAATATTAACACCTCATCAATCCTTATCAATACCCTCAGTAAATCACTAATTAATTATCAATATGTCAGAAAACCATCAATTGATTATTAACACCTCTGCAAATCACAGCTTGTCTCTCAACAGCTCAAATCAGCAATTATTAATACCTCGGTACATAAATAATCAATTCTTACTAATACCTTCATTAAATCAACAACTGATTTATCAATACCCCAGTAAATCACCAACTGATTCTTTATCAATACCTCAGTAGATCACTAATTGATTTATTAGCATCCCAGTAAATCACCAACAGATTATTAATACCTCAACAAATCACAAATTTATTATCAATACATCAGTAAATCACCAATTAATTGTCAACTAATCAGTGAATTACCAATTGATTTTTTGGAGTATCTTTGTAAGTCACCAAACAAAACTACATAAAAACATACTGACTATTCTAAAGTGAAGATCTGTAGTGTAAGAAGGTGTTACCGTTTGCTGTATGGGACTTATTTCAGCATCAGGTCTGCATGAACTGTGTTTGTTAACGGAGTTTCTAATCAATACCGACCCAACAGACAGGCTGTGCCCAAAACCACATACTACTACACGTACTACACCAATGGATGGACTCCTAATGGTGGTTTCGTGTTTTTGACATACTATTTAGTATGGTAGTCTGCGGTTCTGGATGAAGCACAAATCATCAGATTGTCTTATCAAAGCACTAGTTGGGTGTCTTTATATAAGTAAATAATGCGCAAAAGATTATGATGTATAACACACATATAAAAGTGCTGTGGAAAACGCTTAATTCATTACTAAAGTAGTACAGGGTAGACAGTGAATTAGCAGCTATTGGCTTAGTTAGGCTTTATAATGGACACCCAAAGTAAAGTATAACCTCTTTAACAATAACAAACTGTGGGTGTCACAAAATGAATTTCTGTGCTTTTCCAGTAAAAAAAAGAGGGACAGTTCTGAACTGTATGTTATTCACTCCTGCTATACTGCAGATGAGTAATCCTGCAGACAGCTCTTAGTTTAGAGATGGAGGTAATAGAGATGGAGACAGAAACAGAAAGAGTCTGGGGGCAGTTTATCAGTAATGAGCTGAGGGCAGACTGTGGCAGTGTTTGAGACAGCGATGACGCAGACGGCCACCTTGGTCTGGTGTTTATTGTTCCTAACAGCACTTGGTGTGCTTATCAGTGCTTCAATAGACTCATCATGGTGTCTGTTTAGACCACCCTTCACTGTTAGTGTTATGCTGATAAGAGTGGAAAAGAAAATGCACAGAACACTCGAACTGTCTCTTCTGAGCAATGGTGTTACCCCCTCGTACATGAAGTGTTTGATTTGGCTTTTAAATACTTTCTGAGGTGAATTAGCTACTCATACAGTGAACTAACTACAGTGCTCAACTGTTTACACGTTGCATCATTCAGATTTAGAGTCTCATGGACATTTGCTAAGCAACACATCAATATATACAAATTGGAACTGAAAGACCAGATTTCAGAAAACAAAAAGCCAGCACTGGGCATATGCTGCCCATCAAAAGTTTGGGGACACCCTGCCTTCTTTTGTAATTTGACTTGACGAAAGACAAATCCCTGCAGTGTTTTAGTGATCATAAAGCAGCTATTCCATAATTCCTTTAGGTCTATTTATTTTCAATGCTCAGCATCTTCCTTGGTATGAAGACAAGGCTTTACCTGAGTCTTTATCTTTTGGTTTAAAAACCTGAAAGCTCTGAGTGCTGATATCAATGCCAGCGGGTGGGTAGCTAATGTGTAAGATACGCAGCAACAAACTATAAATGATACATTCAAGTGTATATTTGCCGTAGATATACACCCATCCACCCTGCCACCTCAAGAGGTGCAGCTCCAGTTTGCAGTGGACAGAGATTCGATTAAAAAGAAGTTAGCTTTTAATTTCCTGTTCCACCTTAATTTATGCAGCAATTACATTCAGACAGCTGTACAAGTGCTAGTGTGTAACGGCTGCACTATTTAAGATGGAACAGAAATGTGAATAAGAAGCTAAGATAGGTGTATCAAAATTTAGCACAATGGTGTGACTCTGGTTGAAGTGCTGGCTAACACAACAGGGAGTACAGAGTTCAGTACTTTTTTGCATTACAGATGTAGCAATTTTCCTGTATGCATCCTGTGAGGATGGAGAGCAGCTTCAAGAATGAGAAAAACCAAGGTGGCAGTGAGAAGACAAGAATGAAAAATCTACTTAAGGAGGATGAGGACATATCTGAGCCAGCTTACTTACTTAACTACAAGTATTCTGTAGCATACTGACTCCCATGATTATGTGAAATTTAAGATGAAAGCTTTCACTAGTGTTCATTTTATCACTAGCATAGCCACCTTGGATATATCTGTGGAGCATATAAATAATAAATAAGAATAAGAAATGGAGATGAAAAAGCGCAGTGTGTGGGTGTGTATGCATGTAGAGTTTTGGTGGGGGGGGGTCTGCATCATGTAACTCCTGGTCTGAAAACAAGTCTCAGTCTGGTCCTGGCTGACATCAAAACTAATAATCCAGCTCCAACGTGTCCTGTGCATTCTGTCTTTACACATGAACATGCACACGTACCACGCTGGCACCCATGCTGGTCTGCCCACTGCCAAGCCAGGGCATGGAGGCGGAGACAGGCATAGGGGGCGGGGCGAAGGGGCCAGCGCTGGCCTGGGCAATGTTGGTGTGAGACGAGCGATAATCATCATCGGAGCTGAGGAAGAAAAGGGGATGAAATACATCAGTGCATCAGGATACACTGATATGAAGCTGTTAATGAATCACCTGAAACAGTTATGGAATGCTACATTTTTGTCATCCAAAATAAAATTCTTAGACTGTATTTTTTTTATTTTTCACCCACACTGACTGAGAAACAAGAAGACAGTGCTGAAACTAGGTGAAGTGGCCATAAAGTGATCAGGGGAGAAAATAAACTTTCCACAATTCCCCCACCTTATCCCAAATGTATCTGATCATCCAATCATCTTGTCTGAAGTTTTTTTAGCTTTGTCCTGGAGCTACAAAGCTAATGTAGGTAACAAATACCATTTATTATGATGCTAACTGCACCCTTAGCCTTGTAGCACGTAGCTCCAGTGTAAAGAGGCAAACTTCAGACAATAAAGGTGTCTTGGCTGATAGAATAAATAAAGTAGAAACTGTGTAAATTTAACTACTGCTTTAATATGCTTTAATGAGAATCCAAAACACACACACACCTGCGCGACTCTTTGTCGAAGTCTTCTCCGATCCAGGTGTATGGCTGGGCTGCAAGCAGAGTGGACACATCCACCTCTTGGACATCATGAGTGGAGGCCAGCACTATCTCACTGGAATTAGCCTGCACGCAAGCACAGCACCCCACACGTGTGCACAGTTATCGTTTACATGTCTGAAGCATACTGCACACACTGAATGTAATAATAGGTAATATTTACATTATGCTGTTAAGTAATTGGTGACCCATTAATAACTTATGAATAATTAACTTATGACTCATGGACTATGAGTCAATGTGTACATGTTAAATACCTTACAGGGTCATTACTTGTCTATTAACTGCTACTAATTACAATGTCAATGAACTGCTAAGTGCACCCATCTAGATAAATACACGAAAACTTACTAGTACTTATGCAATAGCCCTGCAAGGCCTTATGAGATCGTGACTATAGTGCTGGGGGGTGGGTTGTCAGGCAAGCTTGAGTTCTTTCAACCCATTCCCACACCTGCTCTGAGTGTATCTAAGTGGGCTGATACAGTGCAAGGACTACAGAAAACAAGACAAATATGCCTTTTTTGTGCTTTTTGAAGTTGCAGATGGTGCATTCCGTGGCATTTTCATCATGTAACCAGATGGCCATTTTGACAAATGCAATCTATCTGTGATTCACAATACTATAGCCAATCAACTCAAGCCTAGTTTTGTTAAGTGAGGCAGATTCATCACCTATCCTCGATTAGCTACAATGACGGTTTAGGAATTTAAACTGGAAGCATAACGTTGTGCAGCGACAGGCAAAGGTTGAAGTGGTCTGCCAGTAATTAATGAGTTGAGTAGGAAGTAAGGAGCGATCAGTGAAGAATGAATCTGCCAGGAGAATGGTCCTCACCTTATTGATGGCAAATGCCATGATGATGTCTGACTCCTTGTGAATAATTTTAGCTTTGCCTCCGGGATAGCCGAGATCTGCCTCCACCTACACAGAGCACACAGACAAGCACACAGAGTTATCTCTCTTGTCTGCTTAACCCTCAGCGTCGGCTGGTTTCAGCCACTGTTCACATCAGCACACTGTGAGCATGCCACAGAACAGCACATGGCTGATTGGTTAACAGGTGTTTAATTGGGTAAAGGAGGTGCCTCGGGTCCATGTTTGGCCTGGACTGGATCAGGTGAACAGGTTTTAGTGCAGACGCGAGTTAGTGGAGTGTGTAGCGGAGAAACTGCAGTTAGGGCCCGTGAGGAAGGACATATATGTGTGAATGTGTGTTTATTAGGGGTGTAAATCTTCGACCTCACAATGAGATGCACTGCATAATAAAATCTCTAATTTCACTGTTATTTGAGTCCAAACAATTATTTTGGTCAGACTCGTAGAACTATTTTTATACAGATAATAAGAAAATTATAATTTTGGGGGTATTTTTTTGCTTGAAATACCCTGAAATGTTTAAATTTCAATTAAAAATGAGCACTTTTTTATATTATTATAATTAATTGTAGGCAGTTCCATTATCAATGCAGTTGAATAACTACCTTCAGATTACCAGACGTTTACACCCCTATGCAACAAGGTTTCCATCCATGCACGATCATATTTTGACGTATCAAATAAAAAACTAAAAAAAAGTAACGCAAATGACAAATATGTAATGGACAAAATTCACACAAAAGTTGTACATCAACTTGAGGTAGATAAACTTTTTTGCCAATAAAATAAGAGATCAGGTTGTTTCTATTTTTGTAGCTGTAGCTACAAAACAAGAGAAGAGAACAGAGAACTTATGAATAAATAAAAAGAAAAACTATGAACGAAAAATTAAATGAGGTAAAATACAGCCATTCAAAAATGCAATTCCACAGATTTTTCTAAATCCCCCTATAATTCAGTGTGTGAGCTGTGAACAGAGTGATTCAAAGTGGTTTGGTGTGAAATGGTTCAGATTTCTTTAAGGCGGTGGTAACAGGAATCAGGGGTCACCATGACTACAATACAAATATAAACATTTATTTACTATTCAAAACCACCAGTGGACACGAGTCTTCTGTGTTTTATATGGAATGTTGATGATGGGAAAATAGTGAAAAATCTAAAAAAAATTTGATTTCTCCAGAGACTATTTTGTGTCCCAACACCCTGAAGGTATCCCTCCACCATAAATGGATTTGAAAATAGTTTTAAAATGTTCTCAAAACTCACTCGGTAAGTTTCTCTAGAACACAGCATTTTACACCAAACCACTCTGAATGACTTTGTTCAAATCTTAACCACTTAATTATGAGGAATGTAGAAAAATTGGTAGAATTTCCCTTTAAAAAGCAATGAGAAACCGCCCAACAATAAAGACGTGTCTGTAAACTTGTCTGTAAAATTCCTCTGAAGTGTCTGCGAACATGACGTAGAGCTTTATTCTCCTGTACAGACCTGATGGAAACACAGCATATTTCTGAGATATTTCAGTCATTCACTTGAATGTAATTTGACAGCTGGATGGAAACCTGGCTACAGTGAGCAAGTCAGTGACTGTGCATGCGTGTATGCATGTGTGCATGTATTCCTGTGTGTGTGTGTGTCTGTGTGTGTGATCACAGCAGGTTGAGAGAAGGACAGAAGCCCAAAGCCTGGAGGAAATAGTCACGGAGCCCGAATGACACACACTCTCAGTACTACCTTGCTGGCATTGCGAGCTCCTGCTATGCAGTTTTGTGTGAGGTAGTCCACATGGTTCTCTAAAGACTGTACAATACACAACACAACACACAAACACATAAAACAAACAAAAACACACCAAACACATGCACAAACCACAAACGGGAGATGGAGAAAAAACAAAAAGAAATAAAACTCAAAATGAAACAGGCTTTGATGTGACTGAGAGCTGATCACCATCTTTGCTTTTTCATTTTCATTTTATTGGACAGTTTTATAGCGAAATCATATTATCAATTATCACATAATTACATATGACATTAATATTACTACTATTATTACAATATACAGGCATACAATATGACATGCACCAATGCTGAACTTTTGGAATATGAAATTATTAATGGTGATGACAGTGTTTTGCTGTAGCTTTAGTTCCAACTTTTAATTTTAAAAATAACACATTTACTATTATTATAAACTATTATAATTATGTAGACCACTATATGTATAATTGTGTTTTATTATTAATAATATAATTCAAATAATATAATAATTATAACAATTGCTATAGGTAGCATAATAAATGTATTAATACTATTGTTATTAGTATTATTACCTACTGAATAATCTCTATTTTTTTTGGTCTCTTTGTTTCCTGACACCCTTCTATTTGTACTTTGTCCTTCTTAAACATTCTGCAGAATGTCTACTTTAAAAGGAGAGTGGTCAGTCCTGACCCCAACCCTGACCCTGGCCCCGGTCATTACCTCACTCTGCTTCCTCTTCTTGGTGAAGATGTAACGAATCAGAGTCTCCTGCAAGACTTCCTGTTTCACCAGGAAGTGCCAGAGACGGCGGGCGGGGAAGGAGAGGTGGTGCTTTGCCCTACACACACACACACACACACAAACAAAACATTTTCACATATAATATCTACAGTTTTGGTCTTAGCAATGGAGCGAACATGACTAAACTATCAGTGAGTAATTCATTGCAAATATCAAGAAGTGTAGTATAATTTCTATTGTTTCATTTAAAAAGCACTCTATAATGTTCATATGATCCACACAGTCATTCTGATGGACTGTAATACACTAAAGGAAGTGTAGGTGGCGATATGGCTTCTAGTGTTTCATTTAAAAAGCGCTCTATAATGTTCATATGATCCACACAGTCATTCTAATAGACTGGACCACAGGAAGTGTAGGGGGCGACACGGCTTCTAGTGTTTCATTTAAAAAGTGCTCTGTAATGTTCATATGATCCACACAGTCATTCTGACAGCCTGTAATACACTACAGGAGGCCAACTTTGACTCAAGGCCACGCATGCTGCGGCATCTTTAGACTCGCAAAGCCCGGTTTCTACTTTTAGATGCAGCCCTAACTGTGATATAAATGTCTCAAGCCAATTAAATGAAACATAGCAAGGAAGTAATTTAACAAATCAAAAAATAAGAACTGCCTAAGCAGTTTGAAAGTACTGACTTAAATGGAGTGTTGTCAGGCTCCAGCATGGCTTTATGGCGGAGGATAGCAGGGCCTCCTCCTGCACTGACGTCTGTGGGGTAGGTGTTGATGTAGTTGGGCGGAGGGCCCTCGAATTTGTTCATTTTCTCCAGCAGCAGCTGCTCCCAGTTCTCCAGACACTTCAGAACAGCGTTACACAGCGGAGACGTCACCGGCAGGTCTGAGAGATGCGCACAGATGAAGAGAGGTGGGTTTCTCTATTAATAATGACATTGCAGGTTTGTGCTTTTGGAATGTGTGAGTGCACATGAAGAGGAGTCTTCCAATTTCATGTTGTTGACGATTTTCTAATTCAAAATAAGTTAAAACATCCTCTACAGACACACACTTCTGCACATTTTAATGCACAATTACTGTTTATTTGCTGAATTTAACATGCTAGAGACATGCTCCAATATGCTACACCCAGCCAATAAATTGAAAAAATGCACTAAAATTGGTGGAAAAACGCAGTGTGTTTTCTGTGGACGATGTGTTCACTTTTTTTCCACTTAGAAAATCAACAACTAAATGTTATTTGACCAGGGACGTTCTAACTATAACAAAAGGCACTGCTTTTTACATGGAGACAAATGCAATTAATCACAATTAACTAAACAAAATGTGATTAATCAGGATGGATTATTTTAATCATCTGACAGCCCTAATATCTATAAATATACACACACAAAATAGGTAAAAAATTTAAAGAAGCAAAGTCTTGCCTGTAGTGAATATATATGTGTGTGCTGCCCGTCAGTACCTGTAAAGTCCAGTCCTGCAATGGGTAGGAAGGTCTTGACATTGTGCAGACCAAGTTTTACCATGACCAGACGGATCAGAGACCAACTACAGAGAGAGAGAGAGAGAGAGAGAGAGAGAGAGAGAGAGAGAGAGAGAGAGAGAGATATTGTTGCACATATTGTTGCTGTCCATAAAAGCAAAAAACGATAACTTTACAGGATAAGGCAAAAACATTCTATACTTTTAAAGTAAGCTAATATAAAGAGACTGTATTCCAAGCAATTTTGGAGTTTTTCTATTGGTCCAGTCATCATCAAATTTTCAGACAATATAAGGGACAGCTGCTTTGTTAACATGAATAAAAAAAATCAAAAGCTTCAAGCTTCTTTTTCTTTCCTTTTTTTTTTTGATATCTCAAAAACAATAACTTTTCAGCAGAAGTAAAAACAAACAATCTTAACTTTTAATGTAAATAAAAATTCAATATAAAAAAAGTTTATGAAAAAACTGGACCAAATTATTAGATCAAAAAAACAAGCAAAAAACAGCTTTAATATTTTATTGTTACTGAACCCAACATTACTAACACATTATTTTAAGTTTTGTGTATTTTATATCTTTTATTATTTAAATTTAAAATTTAAATTCCCTGTGTATCTTATTTGGTGAAAAGGATGACAGACACCTGTTGACGTGGTTACCTGTACGAGTTTGGATCACTGTGCTCTGTCATCTGAGTGTCTGAGAGGAATGCATCGTCATCATCCTCATCATCACTTGCACCGCTCTCGTCTGAGTCGTACAGTGCTCCGCTATCTGAGGGAGGCAGGAACGGCTGCGGAACACACACACACACACACACACACACACACACTTAAAATACACGGCAACAGATGTCATAACAAACTTCAAAAAAAATGTAAAAACCACTAACTTTACAGGAGTAAGGTACAGTGAAAGTTAATGTATTTTAATGTATTATGTTTGTGTCATCATTTAATTTATTTCTGTTGATCTATTCTTTATGAAATGTTTGATGTGCACAACATATCAATGGATGTAAAAAGTACTTATGATCTTTAGATATCAGAGTGATGGTATAAAGCACAGTTAAACATGCTCACTTGCACACAGAAGAATACAGACACACAAAGAGACAGACAGTCATAACAGTGATAACTGGTCAGCTTTCTGAACTGATACACTTTCAACAGAGATGAGCTGAAGTGAAAACGTACACCCAGCACATTTAAGACACAACTGTATATAGCAGTGATACACCGCTACCATTTTTTTCAGACCGAGTACAAGTACATTTTAAAGGGGAACTCCATTGTTTTTTCAAAATTAATTAATCATTTAATGGTTTAGATGTAAACCAAAGCATTCAGAATAGTTTGGTGTCAAACGCGCCTTTTTAGAGAAATTTACAGAGTCAAAATTATTCACTATTGTACAAATATCACCATCTTACCTGCTATTCAAAACGACCAGTGAACTTACATGTCTTACAAGTTTTTTATGTCCTGCTGATAATGGTAAAATAGTGCTAAATTGAAAAAATAAATTTTCTTTGGGTACTATTTTTTCCTTACAACGCCCTGTATGTACCGCTCCGCCCTGAACACCTTTTGGGGAACGGTCTGACTGCAGAGCCGCAGATTTACACCCGCAGTTTCACTCCAGCAGAAACTAGAATCTAGGTAAGAAACGTTCGTGAATATAATAAATGAGTCTTCATTAGCCACCATGAATAAATCACTGTTAGCCATTAGCTTAGAACAGACTGTCTAACGTGGGCCACGCAGAAAAAAAAACAAAACAAAAAATGATCTACCTCGCTATCCTACCTCATAACCTGGTAAGCGGAGTAGCAAGTAGTTTGTTGTTAACACCAGCACTTTCCATTCACCCTGGGTTGCTCTGCGTCGGCACTGGTGGGTTCACTCTCTATATCCCTTTTGGCTCTCTCTTCTTTAAACCGCTGCAACTTCTTTGTGTTTTCTGGTTCAAACTGATATGAATCTACAACATTTTGGAAACAGACCTCCTCGAAATCCTCCGCTTACTCTACAATCTTCCCAAATAAGTAAGAAAATCATACAAATTAACTGTAAACAAAAGCTGATGCTGGTGTTAGACGTGTTGAACAGCTGCAGCTACAGGCGAGTAACAGCAAAAGCCCGTTGGCTTGCGCGCATTTATCTCAGTTGAGAATGCGGTTTTGAGAGGAAACACAGAACTAATCCTGGAGTAAAACTTAATACTAAAAATACATTTTAGAGCAAAACTTTATAATAAAACTTTCACAAAACAATGTCTCAGGTATCAACCATTTTGTGTAATGACTTAAAAGGATGTAGCCTTCAGAGCCATTAAACGCGTCGGACGTCTGGTTCGTAGTACTATAAAGGTAAACAGTTTTGACTTGGTAAATTTCTCTGAAAAAGCACATTTCACACCAAACCACTCTGAATGATTTTGTTCACATCTAAACCATTCAATGATTAAGTAATTTTGCAAAATGGCAATGCCAATACCTATTCTGATATCATGCTGAGTAATCTACTAATTAAATAGTTGTTAGTGTAAATGAGTGCAATCATTAACATTAAAATCTACCTGATTTTCAATGTTGTTGATTAACTAGATCTGCTATATCTTGGATGGAGCAGCACTACAGTGGAGAAGAGCGTGTTTTGTTCCGTGTCAGAAAAGCGCTTCTGTACAGCTGTAAGTACATTTGATAGATTTGATCCTCATTTGTCTTTTTCAACAACAATTTCAGTATTGAGGTGCATTTTTTATGAGTACGAGTATGAGTAAATGAGCACGGTATCAAGCTGATACATGGTACCACTATCAATATCGATGCATCCCTAGTGTTTCGCATGTATTTCTATAGATGTATTCAATTTTAAAGCATTACACTGTTTTACAGTATTTTTAGACACAGAGTTGCACAATACAATGGATGTTTTATTTTTATTGTCCTTTATTTTCACCTATATTTTTAACTTATGTTTTATTTGCAACTCTGTATTTTATTGACAATCACTTTATAAACTTGTGTTATAAAGGTTCTATTTAAAAAAGTTTATTATTATCATTTAGCTATTACACTGTCGTTAGTAATGGAGTTGAGCTCACTGATGTGAAGATCACCAGATTTAATCACTGCAGCACAATACAGACAAACACTCCAATATACTTAAATCTGACATCACAACTGTGGTTGCATAATGGAATAATGACTCAGAATAACGAGTCTAGGCCCTGCCAGATAAAGCACTGAAGACCGATTTACGCTCAGCATTCAGAACGTTATGTAACACTCTGAGGAAATTACAGAAAGCTTTTGTCAAAGCTCATGTTACATTTGAAACATACAGATAAAGCCTGGCACAATGAAGGCCAAGCTAAATGAGCCACTAAAGTGACTGGATTTTTACAATATAAAAATCAATACAAATATGAACCATTAAAACAGCAAAGCATTACTGGAACTGGAAAATTAACAGTCTAAAATTAACACCTAAACTACAAAGATGTGAATCACAAATAGGGTAAAGGGCTAAAATGAGTCAGTTAGTGAATGATTGCTTGATTCACTTCTCTGAGACCAAATTAAACAGTGGCTTCCCAGAGCTAAAGGAGTTATTTACAAACAATAATGAATGCAAACTATGACTGGAACTGATTATTCAAAACTGAATCACTGGAAAAACAAATCAATAAAAGAACTAAATCACCAGTGAATCGCAAATAGAGTTGAATTGCTGAAAATCTGAATCACTAATAAAGCGAATCACACAATAACTCAAAGACTAAAAACAGTCTCCTCGCAAAGAAGACTTGATTAAGCTGACGGGACGATTTGTAATTAAAAGAAATATATAGTTTAGCAACTACCTGGTATTTAGCTGTGACTAGTGATATTGTAGCAAGGAGAAAACATCTGAAAACAGTGCTGTTAGCTCTGCTAGCTAAAAAAAAAACAAAAAAGTAAAGACAGATCTGGCATCCGATTTAAGCTCCTGACCAAATGTGTACCAGCAAATAATTTAATAATTTAAATAATTTACAGTCAGATCATGTAAGTGTTGTGTAGTGGGAGTGGAGCGATGTGATTTTGGTCAGAGCGCGGAGTGGCTTTTCAGAAAGTCCCCAAAGCAATAGCACTAATTTGTCTATCAAAAATTTGACAAAGTTGAGCTGGAAGTGAATTTTTGCACACAATGTTATTTGCCTTCGTCAAAATGTGAAATGGAAGTCATTTTGCAAAGTTGGTGTGGGAGCTGGGTCTTACTTTGGCCACAAAGTAATCCCACATGCTGAGCTCCGGGGGGATGAATTTCTCCTTGTAGGTGGGGCGCTCGGTGGGGATCGGCGGAGGTGTGGCTGGAGTCTCTTTAACGGGTCGCCCGGGAACCAGCATGCGCATGTTAAACCGCCGACGCTGCCGATCCACATCTTCAGCTGGAGGGGTCGGAGGAGGGACTGCTACATTCAGAGAGAGAAAGACAGAGAGATAGACGGAGAGAGAGAGAGAGAGAGCGAAAGAGAGAGAGAGAGAGAGAGAGAGAGAGAGACTGATTAGTCTGATTAGATCCTACAACTGTTTATTTCTATCTTTAATTTGTTGCACACTGTAAACAACTTGTTATGCTGTAACAAATAAATGCATCCATTTTTAAAGGGGATTTCAAAGGATTAAGCTGAGTTTAACTTATTATCAACCATCTTATCTTTAGTTTGCAAGCACCTGAATCCTGAAAAGGGAAAATGGTAAAGCGCAGTGATAAAAGACAGACAGTAGATTAAAAGAAAAAGGAGACAGACAGCAAGACACTGCAACAGTGGATGCCTCCATCATTATTCCACACTGCTAGAGGGCTTCTATCTGAGAGACAGTCAAACCACAAGCTTCAGTGCAGTCTCTAGTAGAGAGGAGGATAAGAGAGGAGGGTCATTTTTTTTCATCCTCTTCACTCAGAGAGAGAGCAAGGAAGAGGAAATGATGACTTTATTCGACTTTTACTAAGCCTCTCTTTCCTTCATAACACAGACACAAGAATTCTGATAATTACAGTTTAAAGGGCCCATATTCCACACGTTTCAATCCCCCCTTTTAATGTTTATGTGGGTCACAATACATTATTACATGAGGGGAAATGACCACTGTTCTGATTGGTTGTCCTATATTGTGCCTCTTTTATAAACAGTCAAGGCAGGAAGACGCCTTCAACAAGAACAGGTGGGCCAAAATGCTGTAGGCTGAATAGGTTAGTTTTTGTAACATCACAAAAATGATGAATTAAAAATGCTCTTGCAGCTCAGTTTACATATATGGACTGGATAATGAATGACACATTCTGAAACTCTTACTATGATTACATACTACATCAAACTCTTATTTCAATGAAGTGAGGAAAATCCATGATATGGGCCCTTTAAGTGTTCAACCTAACTCTTGTTAACTCTATCTCTGAGGCTAAATTTTATTATTTAATTTCATTTATTAATCTGTAATAAATGGTTAGGTGCTATTTCACATTTTTAAATGCCACATTTCTAACTACCACACACACCCAAACACGCCATCACACAGAGCACAAACCTTCACCATTATCTTGTTTCACTTGAGCAGGAACAGCTGAATCAAACAAGAACAAGTAAACAACAACAAAGACAACAAAAACAACACAGTAAACAACAAACCAAAAAACAAGAGACATCACATAAAGTCACTCAGGCTGTAAAATACAGTCTCTCTTGGAGTGAAATGAAATGTATTATCAGTTACATTAGTGAGGTCTAAAGCCCAGGTCTCCATGAAACATTATCCAGATCTTGTGTTATAATTGCATGTGATATTTATGGAGTCTCTGGAACATTCTCCCCCATTCACACTCATTTGCTTCTTGTTGAGTCAGTGTGTGTTGGCTAAAACCTACTATCTTTAATACGCCCTTTTCACAGTTCTGCATTTTTTCTGCTGGATGTTCTCATTGCAGGGCAACGCTGCTTCCCCTAAACTAACAACAATAACAACGATGATGAGTAGAGTGTGTACAGCTCACTCATGTGATCGAGCATGAAGCAAAAACAAACTTCTCAGTTTCAATGGTTTGTCAGCTGACGCTGAGCAGAGGAGAAATGAGTTTGTGCAGTTAATAAAGGAATAAACTTTGTCATACAAAGGAAAAGATCCTCTGTGTCAATGTTACACCTAATGCAGTTCATGCTTTAAAGTTGCTGCTGCAGCTGCTTTCAGAGAAACAGTTTTCATTTTCTCCCCAAAACCTGTCAGTATCTGAGAAAGTGAGTGCTCAGCGGGGAGCATTGTTCGTTTTTTAATGATAAAAAGCAGTAGCCAGAAGCCATACAGTTCATTAAAAAACAGGTCAAAACAGAACACAAGGAGCAGTCATGATGGAAGCATCTCAAGAAATCACAAATTTCTTATATATCTACTCTCTGCCTCCTAGTTACCATTAGCCAGTATAAGCCAGCAGTAATGCCAGCTAATGGTAGCTTAATGCTAAATAGTTAGATTAGTTAGATTTAGTTCTATGGTGAATTCCTGACATGCTGTTTTCCTTTTGCTCTATTTTGACCTGTTTTGTAATGAATGCTGCCAGATCTCATCAGTGCTTTGAATCCTGAGCTCTAAAAATATACAATTAGCTTTAGTTATGCTAGCCAACTGCATGACAGATAACATCAAATTTAGCTAAAATTAGTAGGAAAACATAGCAAGATCATTCATGTTAAGCTTAATGTAGTTAGGAATCTCTGGTGCTAGATGAAGAGTAGCCTAATAACAATGTACTAATTAAAAAAAAATATATATATTTATAATCATTCACCTTTTTTCTACATTTGCGGTCTTTGTGTTGTGAACGAGTGAAGACGAGGCTGCATCATACTCTCCAGGAGTGAAGGGCTGCAGTTAGCTGCAGCTGTATCAGCTCTATCTGGTGTTATTATAATTATTATGACTAAAGGCTGCACAGCATGATTGTGAGGTTAATAAAAACACTGATTTCAAAAGGACAAGTAATATCAAAGCAGTCCATGAAACTGTACACAAACAAAAGAGAGACAGCCACGAAAGCGTGTAGGGACAAACCAGAGCTGGAACAAAGAAATGTAACCTGAAGGCAAATCGTGAAAGAATTCTTTGATCGTGAGTTAAAACAGGTGGTCTTTGAATGCTCAGTTGATGACACAGATGATAAGTTAAAGCAAAAACTTCACTGCTCACAAAATATATTATCTCACATACGTAGCTTTGTCTAGTCTTCAGTTCGCATACAGAGTAAACTGGCTTTAAATAGCAGTTTCCACATAATGCACAGAAAAATGTGCTCCACTGACATCAAGCTCACAATGGAGAGGCATTCCATGTTTGCTCTCTGTTCCCCAGCTGTGAATATTCTTCACTCTTTAATGTTTTTTTTCACACAAAACTTCACTACTATTATGCTGAGGGCTTTTGTTGGTTACGTCGCCTAATTTTACAGCAAGCAGAACGTCGCAACTTTCTTGCACCTATTGGATATTCTCACCTGCTGAATAGCTGAATTTGGCCAAGATTTTACTGTGCACCAACATACAATATGCACTGTGACATACAATAAATACATAAAACAGCTGTGTTAAAATGTAACACTGATTTGTGTAGTAGTTAAACAGATTCAAATGACAGCATTCAGACAGAAATTTCTCAAAATAAAACCTGTTTTCACTCCATTAAAGAAACTGAGTTGCTTGTTCACACTTATGAGTTTAATCTCCTAGCTATAATTTAGCTAATACAGCATTAAGAAGCACTTAAACAACTTACAGCAAGAGCTAGCTAGGCTATCAGTCATTAGCTTAGCTCTTTTGGTTGAATCGTCTCAAAGATGTCATGAGTAAAACATTTGTGAGCTTTCAGAGAGGAAAAAATGAATATGGAAAATTTTGCATCACCACTCACGACCTGAGTAGAGCTAACATATGGTACACACTAGGGGTGTCCAACTCGGGTTCTGCAGGACCATGGAAAACACTGAACTTTCCAATGAGGGCTGGAATTAGTTACAAGCTGTTTATCACACCGCTTTAGCTGCAGTTATTACCGAATGAAAAATGAATCAAATATACCACTCACATGGAGTGACATGCAGCTGAAAGCTTAAGTAGAGGACAGAAATTTGTCCACACTGATAACAGCGAGTAATACAGTGTCAGAATCCAAAAAATCAAGTCTATTAGATATACTGAACACCTCCACATGGTTTAAGTTTGTGATGATCTAGGCTTATTATGTTAGCTGCATGAGCTTGAGCATGAGCAGTGCTCAAAAGAAAGAATTAAAGAACAAAACGTCAGATGTCAAACATGTCTTGGCTGACTGACCACATTTGAGGGTAAAGGTGGGCGGCGGGGGGTGGTAAGGCTGTAAAAATTTGATGTTGCTCTCAAACTCCACTCTAGAAAGGCCACAGCCCTGCAGGGTTTAATGTCTTACCTGCTTTAGCCACGAATACCACTAGGTAAACTCGCGTAATATACCATTATCCGATGGCCGTTTGAGATTTCCAGAGGAGTAGATGCAGGTGCAGGGGTTATCTGTGTATACGCACCGTAAGCACACCGTCTAAGTGCATTTTCAACACAAATATTCACTGAGAGGGCGCTTCTAGTCTAGTACAAACTGATGAGCCTCAATATCTCCGGCACCTTCCACCAATAACATAGTAATGTCACAGAGAAAAATTTAAACTGGAAAAAAAAAAACGTGTTTCTGTTCAGAAACTTTGTGTCTAAGCTTTGCTATAGTATGGTAGCACTTTCTGTAAGTGCAAAAACAGTGTGATTCTCTAAATCGTTTCTGGTTAAAATAAACTAGCTAAAGCTTACTGTGTAAAATTAGCCTACAGGCTACTTTGGCCTACTATTGTTCTTAGGCTATTATAGATATCGCTGTTGTCAGAAGAAAACCTTGTATCTCAAAAATGATAACTTTACAGGAGAAGGAAAAAACCTACATTACTTTTAATGTAAGTCAATGGAACCAGACTTTTTTCCAAGACAAGTCATTTCTTTTAGTCCATCCATCATGAAATTTACACACAATGTAAAGGGCAACAGGCATTTTCAAATTATGTCAAAAACTGAAAAACAGCAAAAATGAAAATACGAGGTTTTCTTCCAACAACAGCGATATATTGCCTTTATTCTGGTGTTTTGATTTTGTCAATTACAACGTCCAACCAATTTAAGCCCATTTTCATGTTGCGTGATGGAAGATGTTCTGTGTGTGGAAGCTGAAGGCTGAAAGCTCCACAATGGGACATTATTAGCAATAACTTTTGGTGCTTTGCATCAGTGGCACCGTGTGTCCTTATTTTTGGCAAAGTGACAGAACTGAAGTGATAAGAATGTCAGTAAAGTACTGAAACCACAGGGAGTACCGATAAGAGCAGCAGAATTAAGTAACAGAATCCCCA